ACCCTAAATGGTAGGATCCTTGTTATAAGGACCCCAAAAGAAGGTACCCCTACTTTTCGAAAAGTCCCAGCTCGGCCCCCGGGCTGCAAAAGATTCGCCTGGCCCAGGCCGGGCTGGCTGTAGCCTGGCCGGGGCCCCCCCCAACACCCAACGATTTGGGTGTAGGGTTTAGGGCTTAAGGTTTAGGGTTTAGGGACCCAGAGAGAGAAGCCTTGAGCTCCAGCCATCATGCGATTGTATGCTGCGGCAGCAGGTGATGCACCTCCTGCCAGTTTTAGTGCAGCTTCTCTCCCCATCTGACCCTCACAGAATGCTGCATCCGCCCGGTCCAGTCACCATACTGGCCATGCTGTAGTTCGACCCAACGGATCCAGGTGGTGACAAAATGCCCTGACCACCTGGGGATGATGCACAGCTGCAGAACTTGGAACACGTCAACTTGTCTCTCCGGCGAGGCCTTGTTGCATTCCCTGAGCTGCCTGACTGTCCGAAACAGGCTTTTGAGACATCCCGACAGCCGCAAACAAACTCGGAATTCTGATCGGGCTTGCCCGCTGCATGTAGGGCATCACCAAGCCAGGATTCATCGCTGCACCTTTGCGCTTGGTAAGTGCATCAGGATCCACTCCAAACTGAACGCTCCAGTCATGGGCCTTGCGATCGAGAAAGTCCCGCCGCACGGTCCAGCAGGGCAGCGAAAGTCTGGCCAGGGAACCCATGGAACCAGAACGCAGTATCTTCTGCCCTCGTTGCACTTCGCCTCGCCGACATTCGCCGGTGCTGGGGCCTTCAAGGCTTCGGCTGCGGCCTCGAGTTCCGACACTCCGACACCCAAAGACGCTCTAAAGTCTGAGCTGATCTCTTGTCCTTCTATTTCCCACCCTCCGCTTTTTTGCAGGGGGTTCTTGTCCTACCAGTACAGTATGGTTTCTGTCCCACCGGGTTCGCATTCAGACCAGCCATTGCCTCTCTTCGGCCAACCCATGATGGATTGATGAAGGATTGAGTCTTTTATGAGCGTGTTGGATGTCTTCCTTGGGGCCATGTCCTGGTATTCCCCTGCCCCCTTACCAATCGCTCTGACCAAAGATTGGCTCCGAGGCGAGGAGACCCCTCAAAATTGAGGGGTAGCCTCCCCCTTGCTCACCCCCCCAAATCTTGTGTCCCTTCCGTCCCGAAGCCCACAAAGGATGCCAGGACTCGAGGTTCAGGACTTCGCTGTCTGCCAGGCATGAAGCTGCGCACGAGCACGGCAGATCTCGGAGCCGGCTCCGAGGCGGCTCTCGGGCTCGCAGGTTGGCTTTCGTTCGTGCTGCTCTTTCTCTATGTTGCGTCGTCAAGCGTACCGCTGGCATCCTTCAGCTGCAGCATGTCTCTTCTTCTTCTGCTTCTTCTTCTTCTTCCCATGCGGTCATTTCCATTTCGCTCATAGCTGCCAGCGAAGTGAGGCAGCAGCACAGATCACAGATCACTGCAGCATTTCTTAACGACTTCACGCGTGTCTCACCTCTCTGTCTCCCCCAGCGAAACGGAGGACCTCAGACCTCGCGATACTCGACAAGTGGGTCACAGCATTTCGGGGCAGAGCTGCTTCCAATGGCTCGTTCTCTGCAGGTTTCCTCCCTCTCTCGCTCTACTTTTTCCTTTCGTCCCTAGGCCCTACACTGCGCAAGCTGGCCGGAAAGGCCCACACCCGTTGTTGCGACTTCTTCCTGCTGGGCAACCAGCCTGTCTTCTCGCATCGAGCCTGACTCCTAAACCCACATCCTTTTAAACCCTACACCCCAAACCCTAAGACCCTAAACCCCAGGACCCGATACCCTCAGCCTGGCCCTTTGAACAGGCTTCCCACAGTGCTTAGATTTTTGCTAGTGCCGCCCCGTGCACGTGACCTCATGGAAACCAATGGCGGCTTTGGTTGTGCGAGCTGCCCTCGCACGTTTCCGTGCACCGAGCCTTTTCGGCCTGAGTCGAACGAGCTGCCCCGCTTAGTTGGTTAGCCGCGCTGCCTCAACCGCAAAGCAGGCAGCCCGCATCCCGAACCTGCCTTCGCCGGCTAACGCTCCGACAAGAACTCTTTCTTTCTTTCGGTCTCTCTCCCGGGCAGGGAGAACATGGGAGAACGTCTTTATTTCCCCGGCCGTATGGCCCATGTTGTTGTGGTGTTCTTCTGGGGAACTGTGACACGGCAACTTGGGACGCGAGAGAAAAAGGAACAATTCAGGTTGTCCCCGACTCAAGATACAAGGACATCGCAGCAGTTCAAAAGCAAGCATGACCTTTCCCAACTACAGTACATTCTCTCTCTCTCTCTCTACCAGGCTTGGGGCTCAGGGTAGGTCGCACCCCTGCCCCTCACGCGTACGCGCACCTGCTGGTCTTGGCAGGCTTTGAGAGTCTCAGCAGGGGTTTCCCCCCTGTGAGTTTGGCTGTACAGCCTTCTGGGTCTGGCATGGTAGGTCGCCCCCGAAATCAAGGCACAATGAACAGTCAGACCATATGCTTCTCCCTCCCCCCATGCCAGCACTGTACTGCAACTGCCCTGAAGCCAGCTAAACCCCTAACAAAGACAAGCCTAAACACAGCTGAGAAACATCAGACACATGATGCAACTTAGTTCCCTCATGGCTCGTTGCAGTTTGGAAGGCTTTTGTTGTGTATACTACTTGCTCTCCGCTCCCCCGGTGGAATGACAAGGCTGGCGGGTAAATATTAGACGAACCAGGATGGTTTCCCCCGAGGTCACTTCGAGCTGTTAGCTAGTGGTGCGACGTGTTTCTTTGCAGGTAGTCGGGGCAGTACAGAAGCAACAACGATAACGGTACAGGATGCGGTAAGAAGCAAAGACAGCTTGGGAATCACAGTATTCCCCATCTGCAAGGTACACATCTGCTCCCCCTAGTGTCAGGTTTCCCCCCGGGTTGCCTTGAAAAGGTACAAACAAAGGTCGGGCTCAGGCTACAGTAGGTTGTTACGGCAACGAGTGGGTGTCAGTACACTACGGCCCTTTGCTCCCCCGTCTTGAGGTAGCTCAAGCTCTGCTGTTGCTACTGGCCGCGGGCGGGGGCAGAGGTACATGGCAGTCAGGCTTAGGGTCTTTACAGTGCAACAGCGAGAAAGCGTCTGCGGCTTCCTTGGCTACTCAAGTCACTTTCGGACTCAGACAGCGGTGCACGCCCTCCCTGCGGCTCGTTCGAGCTGTCCCCCACGTCCAGCTGGTTGTTCTCCCCGCTGGCCAGCGGCTGACTCCACATGTGCCATGGGATCGTGGTGGCGAGGCTCTCTATGGGCTCCTCCCCCATCTCTTGGTCCAGTTGCGTCTGCGCCGCCGTTTGAATGGCAGCTTCCAGGCTGTCTGTGATCATCGCCTGCGCTTGGGATGGAGATGCTCCCACCAGCCCAATCCACTGGCCAGGTCGCGGGGTTGGAGTGTCGCCCCCATGGTTGTCATCAGCATTGCTCCCTGTGGAGGTCGCTTGCCCCCGGTCGTTGGCTGCTGCTTCAGTACATTCTATCTCTCTCTTTCTTTCGCCAGGGCTGTGGTGGCGAGTTGCCTATCCCTCTCTCTTTCTCTCTGTCTCTCTCTCGCCCCGCCCCCCTCCACTACCAGTACAGTCCGTACCTCTCGCTCTTCCCTCCCCGTTTTCCCAATTGAGACTTCTTCTGCGCAGTGCCTGGGCGAGGTCGCTCTGTGCCTGGATGTGGCCTTCGAGAGTCTAAACTCTACACAAGAACCGCAGAAGATCCGTTTGATTCTCGAGGGCTTCACCAGGAGAGGAGTTGTGGCCACTCTCAAACTTTCTCAAGGTGTCCTGGTGAGCTATCGCAGTGCCGCAGAGCTGCTATTGCAAAGCTATCCGATGAAAACATGCCGAGCGAGTCCTGGGTCCTGAGCTCTTGAAATATGAGGCTCAGTTCCACCTCCGAGGCCATGAAACGGCTGTCAGCAGAGAACGCTCTCTCCACTTGTGCACAGGCCTTCTGTCCCTTCCTCAGCTAATAGTAACCACCGATATGCCAACATGCAGACGCACGCCCGCGGCAGAGGTTGCAGAAACCATGGACTGCCAAGCGAGAATGCAAGCCAAGCCACCACATTACTATGGGGCTGCAAGGATGGTTGCCCAGCACGACAGCTCGATCCTGCGAACGCCCCGTCTCTGCAAATGTGCCCCAACTTGAGATTTTTGCCAAGCACTAGCACTTGCCTGGAGGTGCCTGAGATTGTTCTCGAGGCCCTGACGAAGCTGGATTCATCATAGGACATGCGTATGTGCCGCGTGCAGCTGGACCAACTTGCCCTATGGATCCGTGTGCAAAACCACCTGGATGTGCGCTGGCGATACTTTGCCAACCTGGAGCAGGAAGCACTTGATACTTTGGATTCCAAAACAACGCATGCAGTGAACATGCAGTCGAACGCCAACGCTGTGTTTCTCCGGCCCGCCACCTTTTTGCTGTCGTGAAGACGGAAATGATAATTGGAAAAAGCTCGAACCTCAGCAGAACAGGACGGCCCGATGTGAGTGGCGAGGATGAAGCGATTGCACTGCTACACTAGGAGGGCTTTATTATCGATATGTCCTTGTCATCCCGGGCTTCATCAGGAAATCACATCGGGCATGACTGGAAAGTTGAGTGTCCACTGATATAACCCTTTTTGGCGTGTGACATCTTCGAGCTCTGATGAGCTTGGGCCGCAGCAGCGTTCTGGGCTGCTGCCGGGTCTGGAAAGTTGACGAAAACATAACCTGGCAAGGACGACAGAAGACCAGGGCCATCCAGCGACTTCACGCTGAAGTACACGTCCAGCTCAGGCGAAGTAGTACAATCACGGACGCTCTTGAGGGAAAGGGTGGTACGATGGTATGACCGTCCAATGCCAGGATATCTTGCATGACATCTTGTGCAGCACCGCCCAGGACACACTGACTTACACCGTTGGGTCGCAGCTAAACTCGCCACTCGACCGATGTTGCAGTCATTTTGCGTATCCCATGGCCTCAGAAAGGCAAAGGGATCCCGTACTTATGCAGCACACACCGCCCAACGAAACAATGCTGCGGCCGCCCGGGCCCCGGAGCTTGTCTGGGCGAAGTGTCTAACTCTAGTGTGCTGAGGTTCCAACAAATAGAAGAAGTCAAAGAAGTGAGGCGATCCCATGACCTTCAAGCATGCCAAACCATTTCCCACAGAGTAGGAAGCTCGATGCGTCTGCATTGGGCCTCGCTCACTTCCATGATCAGTTCATCCTGTGTGTATTCCGTAGGAATGTTTCGAATCATTACCTGGGCAAATAATTCTTCGCTCTGCAGGGGAATCCAAGGGAGACAAGCTCGAGTCGACAGCACCGCACAACATGTCCAAGCATGACCGTGCGGAAGCAGTTCCGTTCGGCATTCCGGCTCTGTTTCGTTTAGCCATCTAGCAACACTGGCCAGATCGATCGGATCTCGGAAGCATACTGGGCAGCAAAGAGCGGTACCATGGTATCTTGGGACCCCACGAACCTGGTGCCCTTCTGCGGTTGAGGCTCACGCATGGATGTTGATCCACTTCCGGCGTCTACGTAGAAGTTTGCATGTAAGGTTCCGAACTGACGAAGTCCTAATCGGCTTCATTTCGGGCAGCTGCAGAGATGTGTGCTTGCTATACCCTACACTTGCTACAGAAGCCTCCAAACCCTCCCCTTCTCATGACGGCGTCCAATCCAAATCCATACAGCTTGAACATTAGCAGATGGAACCGAACGACGACCGCAAACCAGAAGAAACACCAAGACGGGCATGAAGGCCTGTTCTAAGCCCATGCGCTCGGCAACCAGATGGTGACATGCAGCACGGCACGCAGGTCGAAAGCGTAACGCAAACTATGCAGAAAACCAAAAAAAAATGTGGCTTCGATGTATGCTTACGAGTTGGATGTGTTGGAAGCAAGCACTCTGACACACAGCATCATACAGCGATAGCGTTCGGTGCCCTGGTGCCGTAGTGAAGGGGCCGTCTGTCTGGTACTTTTCCTCGGACCAGGACGACACAGTGGTTTAGCAACAAAACAGAGCCGGAGTCAGCTTTCTGAATCCAAGGGACGGCCAAATTGCTCTCGCGCTGGTTCCTCTTTGACTTGCCGGGCTGCGACATTTGGACTGGAGGATAGGACTCCTCAGCCAAATGCCACTGCTAAACTGCACCGGAACAAGAACAACATCAGGGAGTGTAAGGTTCTGGCCTCAGCAGACCCCACTGGTCCCCCTACATCCTACGGCTGCCAACTCCGTTCAGCAAAACATCTGAGCAGGCGGCAAAGAGAAAAGACCAACTTGGCACCGGCCATGTTGCCACTTGTGCAAGCCACTTAGCCACACTTTGCACTATGCAAGCAATAACAACCTGGTAGAGTTGAACACACAGTCCAAGTCTACACGTAACGCCATACCTGACTCCCTAATTAGCCTGTCTCCGCGTGTTGATGTGTGTGAGTGTATGTGTATGTGTATGTACACGTATACCTGCATATATGTATATATATTTTCATTTTCATTTCGAGGCAATCAGAGGAGTACGCTGCTCTAATTACATGCGGAGCCCCTTAGTGCTGCAAAAGGTGCAGCCAGGGGATGTTCCCAAAAGCTCGGTGGGGCAGTGATCACCTTAACTGTGCCTTGTGTCACACGCCGCCAAACTGTACGGAGCTGAAAAGGGACAAAGCAAAGAGGGTCGTCTAACGCGGTCGGAGCCTCAACTACACCACTGGAGAAATCGCCTCCGTCTTCCCAAGAGATCTCCAGGATTTCAGGTGTTGCTTCAGGGGTCTCGCGATCAAACGAACAACCTCGAACAATCTGCTCCCACTGGATCGCCGCAATCTCCGCCTTGAAATCTTGCAGCGTGTTGCTTCGCTCACAGCACTCAGAAATCGCCGCCCTCGGGGACAAAGGCGTGGTTTCCAGAGCTTGCAAAACAATCTCAGTGGACATCTCATCCCATAGGAGCTGTGGGTCCAAGCCTCGTAATTCCCGGACCTCTCCAGCAATGTAGTCGCAGACGTCACACTCCTCGCTGGCATACAATGGAACGCTCGACAGTACACCAACGATGGCTCTCACAAGCCCATCTGCATCGGACCACGAATGAGCCTCAAAGAGCTCACCACAAATTGCCCTGTAGGCACTGGCAGCCTCATCACTCCATCGGTGATGTGATCCATCACCTGTCGGTTCCAGGACTTTCTCCGTAGGCGCCGGAGTGTACTGCTCGGTTTCAAGCCTCCTCCATTCTCGGCTGCCGAAACCCGGCCTAGGTTGTGGGGCAAAGAGGCCCTGGCTTCGCAGTGAGTTGCTGCACCACGGGGTATCCCGAAGATGCACAGCCAATCTCGCCTCGGACCAGTACTGCTTGCCACAAGCAGCACACACCGTGCCCTGTACACACGCCCGGTAGGCAGCACGCCGGCCATGGGCCTTGAAGAGGTGGGCTCCAAGCCCACCTTTGGATCGAAAGCGCAGGCTGCACATTCTGCAGGACCAATCATTTGCCTGGGCAGTTTGATTCTGGCCCCCGCTTGTAGCAAACCGATGCATCATCCAGAGGGCAACCGTAACGACATGGTCCTGAATGTCCTGCTTGTGTCTGGCCCCGAGCATTCGCCTGACACATCGCTTGAAGCCGGCAGGATTTCTCCGTAATCCTGGACACCCATTTTGTCCAGGACTGTCTATCTACAGACGGCCAGGTGCTGTCGAAAGTCCGTAGTCGCCGCAGATCAATCTGGAGTTGAGACATCCACCTCTGCTCCTGTTGTAAAACTGCCCAAAGGATATCTGGACCATTTGTCACCAAAGCAGCCAATAGGCCCAATCGGCTCCGCATTGCAACAAGGTCTAGACTCCAACTGTCAGTGAGGACATGCACCATGGGGAGCGGGATCTTGAAGAGGTCGGCTCCCTTGTAGTGCGTGGAAAGCAAACGCCTTAGGCATCGGGAATAACCTCCACTGAGCTTGCTCCAGGCTTCGCCCTCCGGCATCCAAATAGACAGGTTGAACAGAGTGGACCGAACACCAGTCTCAAAGAGGGAAGCCCGTATCGCCAAGGGGATGGTCTTGTTCTGAAAAACAAGCCTCTTACCCTGATCGTAGGCCGAGCCAAGGAGGGCGAGGCGATGACGGCTTTCACCTTTCAGGGTTAACTTGTTGTCGATGACCGCCCCAAGATGGACATACTGCGGGACGATCGGCAGCTCAATGGCCAGGTCCTCTAGGAGGATGGCTGGTCGACCTTGGATCGTTGCAGCCCGACGGGCTGCCATAGCCCCTTTTCCAACCAAACTGAGAATTGCCGATGTCTTGCCCGGCTTCAAGTTCGGGCTCAACCCGAACTCCTCTAAGGTCGAGATAGCCAGGGACGCAAGTCTCTTGAGCTTGGCTACCAATTGACCAGGCGACTTATCCTCAATCGGCAGCACGGAGTCATCTGCCCACGCCCGGGCAATCGACGCAACTTTGCCAGCAGGCCCACTGAAAATGCCATTGTCAGGATTGTGCTCAATGTACGACAACAAGCTCTCCCCATCAGCTCTTTCCACCAAGGTGCCCATGGCCCGTGCATAGATGTAGGCAAATATCGCATCCGCCCAACTTTCTCCAGGCCTTGACCCAGTTGTGGTGGTAGCAAGCTTGTGTCCAGTAGCATAACTACTCACAAACCATGTGCCACGATGGAAGTCTGCACAGGCTGCTTGCACACTCTCCTTGATTCCAGCCTCTTTCATCAGACCACCCTCCTGGACAATACGCAGCAAATGGTGCATATCGTCTGGTCCGAGGCCAAAGTAGGAAAGGAGCCTCGCCACATCCTCGTCGGCCTGGAGGGTCCCGATGGCAACCTGCCTCACCGCCCGATAGTAGGCTGCCCTGGTGTCAATGAAGAGAGCAGCACAACTGTGGTGACGAGCTTGTGCATGTCTCAGAAAGCTAAGCAGGTACATCGAGGCAAAACCAATCGGTGCTCCTCGTTGGCTTCCAAGATGTAAGCCGTGCAAAACACTTTGTAGGGCTCCCTGTCCACGACCACGGATCAGCTTATGGTAAGCTTTTCCCAAGGTGGTGCTCACAAAAAGCGACCTGGAGTTCTCTGGCAATTCAATTGGTCCAGCCCTTTTCCAGGCCGAGAACAAAATGCCCCCCCTCCACTGGAGGGGTTGACACAATGTGAGGAGCGACTTGACATACAACGGGTGGACCGCCGCCGACATCTCAACAGGGGCCGCTCGAAGTAGTTCTCCTGGGATGTTGTCCAAGCCAGGGGATTTGCCAAGTGGGGTAGCCCGAAGAATCTGCTCAACCTCCGCCCTGGTTGGCACATCCGCATTCGTCCATGGGACCTCAGCCGGGTCCCCACTCAAGTTACCTGCTTGTTTCAGGTAGTTTTGACCATATTCTTGGTCTCCAAAATGCTTCAACCAAACGTCATCATGCTGAGTTCGGTTAGCAGCCAGCCCTCCATCCTGGCGGCACAACTTGGGGAGCGGCTTTTTCTGCGCCTTGTTCTTCCGCCCTCCAATACCATGCTGTCGCAAGCGCTGCAAGATCTGGGCTGTGCTGGAGAGACCATCATGTGCCAACTTTTCTAAGAAAGTTTGCTTGTCCTTGTAGATTCGCCGCTTGATGCGATCAGTGGCGAAGGTGATCGCCGCCGCCACCATATCATACAGTAGCTCCTGTTTAAGGACAGCTCGTGGGGACCAGGCATCAGAGGATCCTGCCCACCACGAAAAGGCCTCTGCAACAGCAGTAGGCCACATTCTTCGCCGATGACCAGCAAGCTCCTTGAGCTTAAGCTTGGCTTCCCTCCAGGACCAAACCTCTGGACTGATGTAGGTTGCTCGGAATCCTCCCGAGGGCACCCGGAAGTTGTCCTCCATCAGTCGCAGGAGGTAATCCTGCAAGTGCTGGCAGTGCCTATCCACATCCACAGACCATTGTGGTGCCTGGTAGCTGATCATAGCCTCGCGGATAATCGCCTGCCCTTCCCGGGATCGCATTCGTTGCCGGTCGAAACGGGGCCGGTATAACTTCCGTTCACCATGTAGGCCTCCGACTGTGAAAGCAAGTGTGAGCTCAACCGCTTTGTGGTCCTCGAGCTTGTTGGCCGTATCAAAGTCAAGGGCAACCCGAGACTCAACCTGATTGGCCGGAGCACGACCACCTAGTGCGATAAAGTCAATACGATGCTCTTGACCATTCGGGTGCTGGTAGGTGGCATCGATACCGTGATGGTAGTCATGGAAGGTGGCAGGCAGCCAGAGATTGCAATCATGAAGTGTCGCAGCAAACTCTTGGCCGGCAAAATCTGGTTGGCTGAAGGGTCTGGTGCCGGTTACCTCCGCATAGGCGAGGGGCGGCCTCGCATTGGCATCGATGCCACCAATCACCAGGTCATGAGGTGGCAGCTGTCGTAGTCGTCTTGCCAACTCAGAAAGGAACTGCTGTCGTTCTTCGGCGCGGGCTTCGTGCGGACAGTGGCCCGAAAATAGCAAGCACTTAAGACCATCCTTATCAATGGATACGAGGAGGAGTCGCGGGGTACTTTGGACAATCACCAGGTCGGCTTCCTCAATGATCATCCTCTTTCCCTCCACCTCGAAAGCACCAAGTGTTTTGCTAAACCAGATCGCAGTTCCCCAGTGGGCCTGGGAAGGCGAAGCCAGCCTCAGGAATCGTCTTGATGAGACAGTGCCCTCGGCATCCTTCGTCTCCTGAAAAAAGGCAATCTGGATTCCCTTCCATTCCAGCTGCTGCTCCACATAGGCATGCTTGCCCTTCATGCCCTGCAGATTGACCGACAGAACATTGACCCGTACCACCGCCTTGTCGCTAGTGGTGGTGTTGGCCACAGTCGGCACGAGCTCCTCCGGTGTTAAGGGGCCTCCCTCGAATTGCTCGCCGGGCTTCCACTGGAGAAACTTCCATGTTTGATGCGCAGGACTCCTCCTCCTCCAGGCCACACTGTCGTCGCCAGCCAACTGAGATCAGCACATAGGAAAGCTTGACAGTTTCGGGCCGGGGGGCTGGGAATCAAGCTTGGACAGCCACTGACGGTCTTGGCCATCACATCTGCCGCCTCGTTCCAAGCATCACCCTCATGGGCCTTGACATGTTGAAAGGTCAATCTTCCCGCCAACAGAGATCGAATGAAGAGCTCAAGCTCGTGAACTTTGGTTGCAAAGCTGTTGCACGGGGCCCATGATCCATCTGCACTCCAACCCGCCGCTTGGCAGTCAAAGTGCACCACAACCTCACCAATCGGCATAAAATGCAGGGCCTGACCAATCCAAAGCAACGCCAGGACAATGGCCACCTGCTCGGCATAGAGGGCTGGTGGGTATGATCCAGTCCACAAGGAGTCCGGGTCTCCTAGGATTTTTGTTCCACAGCCACCAAGCCACGCCGTTCGGTTGCTGTCATCTCTAAGAAGCATCAGTGCAGCAGCTCCACTGATTCCTTGCTCCTCTGCATATGAACCATCCGTGTAGATATGCACCGCCAGGTTGCTAAGCTGGGCAGTTCCACACAAAATGGTCGTCCAATGTACCAGGGCTGCCAGTGCTTGTCTGGCGACAGGCTTGAAGTCAATGTCGTCAAGACTGGCCTGCATCCAGTCAGGGGGCCAGACTGCAACGATTTGGGACACCTCTTCAGCACCATGTTGTAGCGGTATGGTTTCACAGTCGATGTCAAACCTCGGGGGAGGGAGGAGTTCCGCAAGAGGTACTTGCCAGGGAGACGAAGAACTCGCTCTCTGGTAAACACCATCATTGTCCCTGGGATCTCGCCGTGGTGATCGGCTTCGCTGCACTGATCGTGGTGGTGGGGGTCCGCGCGGGGGGCCCTCATTGATGACTGTCTCGTCACTGCCAGAATTGAGAGAGACCCTCGAGCTATCATCCCCTGAGTCACTATCGTCATCATCGCTCTCTTCATCACCAGAGTCATTCTCATTCGACGTCTCCTCTGGCGGCTGGAGGGTGATGACAAGGGTCTCGCAGTTCTTGACAACGAGTTTGCCATTTCGTTGTGGCTGACCGCCAATAACCGTGATAACCCAATCCTGGATGCCTTGCAGCTGGAGGCCGCTGACATACTCCCTTGGGTCAAAGTCAGCTGTGGTCAGCTGTGCCCATTGTGGGAACAGACCTAGCTGCTGAAGGTCCAGAAAGATGACAAAAGTGTCCTCCCCGGAGAGCTCGTTGACATTCAAGACCGCATAAATCTCCCAGATACGGCGGCCTTCATGGGCAAGCTTGGCAATTCTCTCCTCAGGCAGGTAGACAACACACGGGTAGTCCACCATGAGCATTTCTGCGGCGGCTTGTTCGATCGGTCTCTCGTCATCTTCGATGAGGTCCTCGATGACCTGGTCATCTGTCGATTGAAAAACCTCAAACAGGCCATCTCTAGCTCCCGGGGGGTCCAAGTTCGGCAGCCATCTGTCAACTTGCCTGAGTCGGGTCGTTAATTCATCAGACCAACGGCAAATTGCTCCCCTTGGGACCACCTTCACAACACCAGCTGTAATCGGACGAGCAAGTTGTCCCGGCTGAAGGGGCCTGTGGTGCCCAAAAAGGTACACGTCCGGTTGACTGGCCTCAAACTCCAACAGGTTATTCTTCACCGTCTGCAGGCTGATCTCATCATCTACATAAAAAGCGAAGACCGTCCCACCGATCTCTCTCGCATCCATGACCAGCATAGTCTTGCTGGTTTCTCCCAGCCACGGCGGGCAAGCAATGAAGCTTGCATAATGATCCCCAATCTGAGGTGTTGTTGCATAAAACTGGTCAAAAGAGTCCGGCATCACCGCCGTTGATCCTTTGATGGCCTCAATCATCATGTTTTGAGTCAAGGGCTGAGGGAGTAGAACATCGATGACCTCCGACTCGTAGAAGGGGGCCGCCACCCAAATCGTGACATGAACACCTTCCTCCTCCATCGTAGGCTGCAAGTCATCAATCTGCTCAGTCGCCACAGGGACTGCAAAACGCGGCGGGGGGGCCTTACCAGGGCTGCGTTGGAGCGGCTGATCGTAAAGATGCCGACAGCCTGCTTCGATGAGTTGCTCTCGTAGGGTTCGTTGTCCGGCCGACCATAGTTCAAGATCTGTCGGCATGGGTACTGCAGACCCGCTCCGACACCGCGGCGGATTCCGGACCGCCTGTGCCTGATAAGACACCGCAAACAGCAGGAAGACCTGGAGTATCCTGTTTGGAATAGGACCAGGTCGGGGAGTTGGGCACACTCCCTTGCCAATTGGTAGCTTGCCAATCGCGACAAGCACCAGGGCAATGGTGAAGACCGCAAGGAGGGTACTAAAGAAGGCCACGAGGTGGGAGCTTCCCGCCTCGCCTGCCCAGAAGATGACCTCCACAAGTTCATAGACAAGTTCCAGAACATCTAGAATGCTCCAGCATCTTCGTAGTCCGGGCCACTCCGCATGACGGCCCTTCCCAGACCAATGGCTGCTCCAATCTCGGACGTGGCCTCCCAAGGGGCCGTGCCAGCTGGAGTTAGCCTCAAAAGTAGGATTGCGAGCACGGGGGACAGACCGAAAAAGCCCCCAAGAATGCTCTTGCTCGTGTGAGGGGCACACCGGCCATCTCACAACATCATATGGCATAGCTTGTTCGCCACAGGTGGTCTCCACTTCAAATGCAACCTCCTTTATAGTGGCCGTCCTTCGAAGCCATGCTACTCGATGATCTCCTCGGGGATCGCCTCCTTCCGCCCGAGGGCTCCAACCATCACCTCGTCGTCTTCCTCGTCGGAGATGTCGCCCCCATCCACCTTGAGGGAAGCCAAGGCTGTACGTCTCTTGGCCTCGAGCCGCTTGGCCAATGCCGAGCCGGGTTTGGGGCTCGGCGCCGGCCTTCTGCCCAGCAGCTTGATAGGGGTTCGCTGTGACTTGGATCGTGGCCTCGAAGGAGTCCGTGCCTCTGGTCCAGGGACAAGGGTGTTCCGACTTGGCGAAACCATGTAGGGATCCGTCGGGGGCTCGGCGCCATTGTCCTCCTCTGCCTCCTTGTGTCGTCGAGTGAAGCCACTCGCTGCCTCCATGAAAGCATCCCATGCCCTGGAACTCTTCGTCCCAGCTTGGCTGGACGTGGGCCTTGGCAGTGTCATTGTCTCCATCCTCGGTGTTCGGCGGCGGGCCGGTGTCTTCGTCTCGAGGTAGTCCTTGAGGTGGGCTCCAAGCGCCTCCGCCATCGCCGCCGTCATCTCGACATCCGGTTCCTCTTCGCAGGCTTCCAGGAGGCTTTGCCACTCCTGTAAAGCTTCCTGATTGGGCTGTGCAGCTGGCTTGCTCTTCAGGGTAGCCGGGCTGCAGAAGGCCTTTTGGAGGTCTTCGAAGGCACCTCTCTGAGCCTCGTCCAACTTGTTCAGCTCCTCCTGGTTTCGTTGCAGGTCCTTCTTGAAGAGCTCTCGCTCTTTCACGAATGCCGCCTGCAACTCGTTCTGGAACTTGTCCCATCTGCCCAAGATCGCTTCCCTCTCCTCTTGGGCTTTGCGAACCCGTATCTCCGCTTTGCGAGCCACCGTGACAAATCGCTGGATACCACGAACAAACTCCCCTGGCCGGATTGGCAGGTCGTCGTCGGGCTTGCCATTGTCCTTCGCCGGGGCCTGTTCCACCTTCATCATGGAGTAAGACGGAAACTTGGGCTTGCCCTCTTCCCAGCTCTGTCCATTCTGCCATGAGTCGCGTGGCTTGTAGCCGCCATGCTGTCGTTGCTCCGGTTGTTGCCAGCCAGAGGATTGCTGCTTGTGCCAGCCACCATAGCTTTGCTCCTTTTTGTTCCATTCCTGTGTGCGACGGCCCATCGACTCGCGATAAAGCGGTCGGCTATGATGGCTTTGCAGTAAGCGCAGTTCCCTCGACGGAGGCAGTCTATGCTCCTTTCGAGCCACTCGAACTCTGAAGCGAGCCTTGGCTCTTCGTTTCCGCTGGTACCTATGCCAGGTCGGAGAAGGAGGAGCCCGTTTGCCTATGGCTTCGCAAATCGTGCGGCAGGAAACCGCACTGGGGTAATGGCAATTCCTCGCTACGGGAGGCTCGATCCAAACCCTATGTATATATATATATATATGTATGTATGTATGTATGTATGTATGTATGTATGTATGTCTGTATGTATGTATGTATGTATGTATGTACATAGGTCGGTAGGTAGCTAGGTAGCTAGGTAGCTAGGTAGCTAGGTAGGCTAGGTAGGCTAGGTCTGCGCTTTCGCTTGTGTTTTGCGCGAACCTATATCTTCGCACGGCTCCAGCGGACTGGCCAAGGGCGCTGGTTAGCGGTGCTGCTGCGGTTCGGTGTCTGGGGCCATGGGATCTGCCCGTATTTGGCTATCCAATGACCCCAACACCTCTATGTACAGGCCAGAGACGCATTATCCACGCTTTCGCATGCAGCGCCTTGCTATTTCGCACTTGCGCTAAGTTTGTACATAGACAGTGTGAAGAACTAGAGTCAACACCGCTGCCAACCCTGCACTCCGACCTTCAAGCTTGCCATTGGTCTGCACAGGCTCCCAGCCCGGATACGTCTCGCACAGGGAAGCATGATCTTTACCGTTCACATGGCAATGTCGAGAGGCCTCGCCCTGCAAGAAGCCTGCCAGGAAAAAGGTGTCCGCCTCGCGACCGAGCGAACAGTGGCTACCACACTCAAAGAATGCAGCTCACCTGACCACTGGAGGAGTTGCCGCACGTCGGACGGCAGAAGTGCAGATGCCAAAGCTTGTCAACCTCAGGAGAGACACAGTTTCTGACTGTTTGTAGAGCCACGTACTACCTGAACTTTGGGAGCAGCACAGGCCAGTTCTTGCTCTCATCTGGCAAGGACACCAAGACCTGATGCACCAGTCTACGTGGATTCCCAGACACGCTCAAACAGCCACGCGTGACTGGGTGGGCAGCAGTAAACGAAAAGCGAGTTCCAGCAGGTGAGTTTGTGATGTTTGCTGCGTCTGTCACCAGGCCTGAAGAAGAGTCTGGGGTCTCATTCAATTCAAACATGGTCACAGCAGTAAACCAGAAGCGGCAACAGCAACACAGCAACTTAGTGAGTGGCAAATGCTGGCTGTCGTCACCTGTGTGCATTTGGCCCACCCCCCCTACGACTGCTTACTTGTAACGGTTAACAACTGCAGTCTCTCAATTCTTGTGGGGCCTCCGCTTCCGTAATCCATGCCCAACCATCGGGCAAGAGCCCCAAGGTTTCACTCCTCAGAGCTCAGGCCCTCTGCGATCTCTCTGCGATTTATTCGTCTTCAAGGGCCTGGGGAGTTGCCCTGGAGCTCTTCAACTTGTCTGGGCCTCTACGGTCCTGATAGGTTTCTGGATCTGCGGCCAGGCTGCATCGTGCCTCCACTTAGAGTCGACATGGTGAAGCCCGCATCCGAGTCTGCTCCTGTGAGGTGACAACTGGCGTCTGTCATGCACGCCTGGCACACCACACAATGCAACGACAGCCCTGTGCCCTGCCTCCTCCAAACTTGGACGGAGAAGCAAGACAGATCATCCTTGGCAACTCCGATAGCGCGGTGCATGGCGTTGCGAACAAATCAGCGTTTGAAGGTTAGACGGATTTAGACGGGGTTGACTAGTAGCTTCCTGCAGTTTTTGTTGGCAACGCGCTTTCAGCGAACTGCTTGCAAGATGCGACTTGGTGTGGCATAAAAGAGTACTCTGGTGTGCATCTTGCAGCCACTTCTCTCGCTGTGTCCAGGTGTTGCTGACAACAGACACTCACTTCAAGACACCGCGCGGAATCACAAGATGAAGTCTTCGGAACAGATCAGTATCTATAGTCGTCTATAATACATCTCGTAAGCTCAGACGATGCATTGCGAGCAACAGATGCCGCACTGTTCGAAAAGAAGTGCTTTGTATCTGCAGGCAAGGCTCTCCGGAGCATATCCATCTTGCTTTCGAAACAATACGTGTACAGGGACCTGACTGCTGAAGCCAAGCAAGCTAGGAACATCAGCAGCTCGATCCGAAGGGAGCCTGGGCACCTGCAGAACTCGTACCTCGTTGCAAAGCTTGCCAGCTCCCCTCCCCCCCCTTTCGTCACGTTTAGCGCGCGCACCCTCCCAGGAAAGGAGCAAGGGCCGGAGGGCCCAGGCTCTGCTCCACCAGCCCTCTGCCTCGAGGCCTGGGTACCTGGACTGGATTCTGAGGGTTGAGGGCTTTGGGGCTTCGGGTGTCGTTTTTAAAAGCACCTTTTTCCGGCTAGCAGTCAAGGTCGGCAGGGTTTTGGGTTTGGGGCGGCATCCAAAGCTTGGCGCACATGTCAACGATGTTTCCGCCAGAAGCCGACAAGGTCACGTCCCAGCGAGCGACCTTTCTCAAGGGAATTTCCACTGTCACAGTCCCTGGTTGCTTTCTGTCGGCTATATCGCCAAGCTCACTGCTGCATTGGTGTCCAAGCTGGCGCTATCGGAAAGCGACAGGACGGCCTGCTTCCAACAAAAGTGCTAGCTTCATCATTGGAGAATGCGGGTTGTGACGCCCATGTCCCATCACTCAGCCTGCCAAAGGTGTGGGCAAGACTGGTGCCACAGATTTGCAAGGACTTTCTAGACCCTTAAGCTGTGTACCTGTGTGTCGCACCATTGTTTGCATGTACGCCTTTCAATTCTTAAGGACCAAGGCTTCAAAGCTCAGAGAAGCAGACAGTGATTCACAGCAGTGTTGGGACTGGGGGAATACCTCGACATTGGTCTTCGGCCCAATCCAAAACTGCTTTGCGAGAACAGTTCGGTCGCCCGAAAATCTTCAGAAATCCTAGATTGCGAGGGCCATGGGAGGATAGCTTGTCTGAAGCGCTAGAAGCTCCTGCGAAGACGCTTATAAGGGCTCCTGCGAAACCGGGCTTAGGGTTCAGGGGTTTGTCCCTGGCGTCACTTTTTTCGATGGTCTGAGTGGCGTGTCGGAGCATGAGATTTTTTAAGGCGCCACAACAAGCCTGGACTGCGTCCGGTGCAACAATGTTGAACCAATCCTAAATCGTAGATGCTTAAGCTTAAACACCGACTCCCCAATCCTAGGAATCCTAAACCCTGTATCTTAGATCCTGAACTCTAAACCTGCACCCCAAGACCCTTAGCCCTAAAGCAAAGATCCTAAATCCTACTTCTTCAATTCCTGAATACTAAATCCAAAACCTTGAACCCTAAATCTTATGAACCCTAACTCCGACATCCTAAATCCTGAACCCCAAATTTCAGATTCTGAAAACAGAATCCTAAATCCAGAATCCCAGTCACTCCTCGCCATTGAATCCTAAATGCTAAACCCTAAACTCCGAATCCTAAACCCTAAACCCTGATCCTTAAATAAAATCATGAACCTGCAATCATAACTCCTAAACCCATGACCGCTCTAAGCCCGCCGTCCACAGCAAATGCTCGTAAAGAAATGCCACGGTCAGCCGGCCTCGATGGTCATCGAGAGGACGCCAGGTGTCAAGTCCGCAATCTCAAACCTTGGATACGATGTCCGTGACTGCCAGGGTTCACAGCGGCACATATTCACATGGAGTTCCTGCCAGGAGGCACGACTCTTGATGATCCAGGCGCGCTGCAAGGCTGCATGGTAACAGCTGCTGCAGGTCTCAGCGCCGGAAACAGAAGGGAACATTCGGAACATGGCCTGTAGAATGCTGGGACATGCTGGGACGTCTGCGAGAGCTCGACTGGACTCCAGCCACCCACCCGATACCAAAACACGCCTTCCTGTCTCCATCCACCATCCTCTCTCAGGAGCTCGCTGATGAATTACACCGGCATTCCAAAAGCTACCCGAGCCTCTGGTGGATCACCCAGATCACAACGAAACTGTACTTGTTCTGCCTCTGCGTCTGGCAAAACCACCCTTCAGATGTTGACACTTTACACACACGAGTATGAGAGGCCCAGACCATGTCCGACGGAGTTTGGTTTGAGCCTTGTAGCAGAGACTGCGACTGTCCTCATGTCCTCGTTCCTTGCTACGCTCTGCGGCTGCGGCCAGCTTCGTTCCCCACGGAACTGGCAGAGCTCCGAAGTTCATATCAAGACTTGCGCATGTGTGCTCTGGCATTGCCGGACAAAGTCAAGCAAACGTCACGGCGCCTGGAAGTAGTGGCCCCGGAGTTGCCTTCGAGATGAGCAGTGCACAGCCAGCAAGGAGCAGCAGGCATGGCTTGCTTCTCTGACCAACTGGTCACGCTTACCCAGCAGGTCTCGCAGCCCCTACTCATCTACGTCGACATCATCGCGTCGCGCTTCCGCAAAAATGCTGCGCATGCAGAGATCAAAGCCTCCAAAATGCAGTAGCATCCGCAGCCGAGTTGCCGCGGTACCGCAATTCAAGCAATGCCCCAGCACCAGACGCTTGAAGATCCTTACCGTCGCGGAGCAGAACTTCAGCTGAGATGCTGCTATAAATATCCAGAACACGGACCGAGAGTACACATGCTGCCAGCAGCATAGACGTTTCTCATGATGGAAATTCCAATTGGGAAGGCTGAGGCAGGTGACAGGCGGCGAGTTGTAGGATTAGTGTAGACATACCGTTGGCTGGCGGACAACAGAATGCTGGACTGCTTGAATCACCCGCTGTGCGAACTCATGCACGAGCTGCCCCTGCAAATCCTGAGATGGCAGCTGCAACGGCGCGTGAGGAGACCTGTGCAGAGCCAAACTGAAACATAAGAACATTGCCAACCCATGGCCGTCATCTCTGTCAGTTGTTCGACCCGATGTCCTGACTGGCTCTGCAGCCACAACGTCATCGTGAGCTAACTTGGATTGTTGATATGTAAATGAAGCTGCTACTGCAACGAAGGCATCCCACCTGCAACAAATCAGCCCCTGAAGGAAGGGTGGACGAGCCATTTTTCAAAGCGCGGCGCTGAACTGAAGGTCTCACCCAGTGCACATTAACTTGATCAGCGAAGGGAACGACTGTCGCGGCTCAAAGTGTTTAATGCTGACATTCCCCGGCCTCCACGGCGAGCAGGACTGTTAGATTTCCAGACTGCGACGGGTAATCCAATGATGCGACCTTACAGTGTCGGTAGGGCATCATGATGTTGCGAGTGCAGCATGCACCGCCGTTTGGGTGCCGTAGGTATATCTGGAAATGCCCTTTTTGGGTGCCAAGCCATCGAGGCGACTCCATAATCTGAATCGCTCTCTGCCCAGCCCACCTGGGCAAAGAGCACGATGAAACGGGAGCTGCGGATCCAAACGTGTCGAAAGCTTCATTCTGCTGGAAACTCTGCTTTGATTGAACGGGAGTCCCTCCCAAATGCTACGAGCTTGCTCCCAAGCTTTCTTCACAATTTGCTGCCGGCCCCGTCTATGTGCAACACCAGCTTACTGCAGAGATCTGGATGCATCACTTCGTGTTCACTGCTTGGTGGATCAGTCCGTGGATTGATCAGGACATTACATAACCTTGCAATGCGTCCGTTCTAGAAGAGACTGTGCGGGAGAGCCTTTATGCACTAGGAGAGCTACCTACTTTGCTCCTTCACTGACAGATCCTTCATTACTTCCATCACCGAATCTTTCGATGACGGATCTTTCGGGGATGAACCTTGTCTTAAGATGAGACTTTCCGTGGCAACGTTATATACATCTTAAATGGCATCGACGGATTCAAGCCTTCCAAGTAGGGCAAACGCTTCTGTGCATGACCCTCCAGATGCGTGCAATTACCTTAGCAGTCTACGAGTCTCTGTAGTCTCGGCTGAGGCAACTTCCTCCGCTTCTCCAGAACGCCCGATTGCAAGCCACCGGTTCCTGCAGGCACGAACGCAGCTGGTCCGCTGACACCGCCGAACATAAGCAGCCAGGGTGTCCATTCGTCGGGATCGGTGCTTGCAGGGTTCTGCCTTGGGATTGGGAAGCTGCGCCGACATCGTGCAAAACGGCAAAGCAATAAATTGCAAGCTAAGGAAGCGGCGCCTTGATGGAAACATCCATTACAGATCGTTCGACGGTGGCTGCTACCGTCAGCGTCAGCGTCAGCTGCATTCTTTCAGCCTTTAGACCACTCAGTCTGAGCACAGAGTGCACTTCTGCCAGCTAAACTCCAGACCCTTGCAACACTGTGCCAACCTCAGTGCCAGACATCGTACTGCGCTGCGGAGCAGCTGAGGACGCTGCGACTGGATGCCTTGGGCTCTTGCCGCTTCTGTACTGGAAACAGCCCTGGATCTCCGCAGGACTCTTTGGCGTGTGGTGGCGGCCGAAAGGCTAAGACACGCAGCATGTGAGCTCAGAATGCGCTCCGGGGCACCCAGCAGCATGAGGATGCCGAGGTTGTGAGGACACGATTACGCAAACAAAGGACGTCAGGAGCAAACCCTGAAGCTTGATGCGTGAAGTACATTCTTCTCCGGGACGACCGTGCTTTGCATGGCTTGCATGGTTTTCAAACAACAGTCATTCGAAAATCTGAAGAACCTGAAGAAGTGGATCTTGCTCACGGAGTGATGTAGCCTTCGACTTCCTATTGAGGCGCCTCCAACACTGCACGGCTACTTTCGCGACACGCGAGGGGGATCCGTGTGTTGCATAGTTGTTCAAATAATGAACTCTTCCTCTCTCAGCCCTTGCATGGGCCTGAACCATGGAGCACAAAACGGTTCCACACCATCCCCCGTTTTTATGCAAAGAGACAGCAGAATTCTGAAGTTGCTGAGACATGCTAAGTCCGAGGCCGCCAAACAATTCGTCGGGAATGTGACTCCACGTGGTGCCAACAGATCTACCTGGCATCAAATATGAGTAAGGCGTCCAAAAAAGCAGCCAGAGGCCACGTCCCCTTCGACAAACTATCTCGCCTACCGAGCCGATCTGGGGCTGAAGGGAAGCTGCCACGTCTACTTCTCTGTGATTCTATACTTCTCTATTTTTGAGTTTTGAACAACAAACATCACAAACTCTAAACCTTAGAATTCAAAAGCCATACTCTGCATGCCGACTGGGCACACGGCATAATACCCATCATTTACCCACCACCGACGTAATATAAATTCAACTTTCACAAGAACGAATCAAATGCATGATACTGTGAACTTTTAGCATGTGTTTACTAATGCCCCTTTGAACCGGCGGGCCTCTATAATGCGTTGTTTTGCTTATTCCAGCCGCTACCCTAAATTTGGGGTGGTCTCTGTAACGCGTTGTTTTGGGCCGGTTCAATTTTTTGTTGCGTGCTTCCTTTCCGCGAATGGTCAATCTCAAGGCACCCACGATTTGTTTTCCCTGAAGCCAGAAGCTCTCCCTACACCCTACTGTAAATTTCCTCAACCCCAAAACCCTAAAACCTTAACCCTACTGTACTGTTACTGTGCTACTACTGTACTACCGTACTACTGTACTACTACTGTACTACTACTGTTGTACTACTGTACTACTACTACTACTACTACTACACTGTACCGTACTACTACTGCACAACTGTAGTACAACTGCACAGTACCAGGCCTCAGACTTGGTCGATTGTGGAGGGGTGTGTAGGCTGGAGGACAAAGTCTTCAAAATTAAAAGTCTTGGTTTTGGTAAATATCTTGGAGTGATCGGGGCTTGGCTTCGAGCTTTTTGTTCCATCTCCAAACCCCGCTAAACAGCTCACTGCACAACTTCTACGATTGCTGTACTACTACTGTACTACTCCTTTACTCTACTGTACTACTATTGTACTACTAGTGCACCACTACTGTACTACTACTGTACTACTGTACCATTACTGCTCTTTGCACTGCTGTACACTACCAGGCCTCAGACTTGGTCGATTGTGCACGGGAGTGTAGGTTGGAGGAAAAATTCTTCAACATGAAAACATTTTAGTCTTGGTAGTTATTTTGGAGCGATCGAGGTTTGGTTTCGAGCTTTTGGTGATCCCCAAACCCCCCGACCCGGGCATTCGCGGAGAACCGCAGACCCTCCACCCAGCGACCCCTCAATTGCCGCTTAATTTCATCAAAGCCACCCAGGCCCCAAGCCAACCCAAGCCCCCAATCTACCGTACCAAGGTCCAGGGAGCCCCGGGCAACATATTGAACGGGCAGGGGGAGGGGGGGGGGACCGCCCCAGTAAAGGGGCCACGTTAATACTTATAGCTGACGTATTGCTATATGTGCATAAAACCGTAAGTATATGTTGAATTATATACTGTTACATGACAATTAAATCATTCCACCTGCTTCAAGTTTGCTCTCCCGTGTAATTCCGAGCTCTAAGCTTGTGACCTCTCAGTAGCCGAATGCACCTTCAGAACTTCGGTTTCAAAGCTTCGGTTGTGGAGCTTGAGATCTAACGAGATTTCGGGTTCAAGTTTTCGGGCATCCGGCAGGATCTGCTTGTGCTAAACCCTTTCCCTTTTATGGGCGGTAAACCGCCCGTTCACGGCCCTAAAACAAATCAATTTACGGCCGCAAACGGTCTGCTCACGCCCGTAAACGGCCCGGTTACACCCGTAAACAACCGTAGGAAACAACCGTAAACGAGCGTTCACCCCCACAAACCTGTAATGTGTTGTGGTTTCTCCATGTTTCCTCGCATCGGCAATATGGTTCATAGTATGGTTCATATAGACTCGATAGCCGCTATACAGTAGTGATGCAGACTGCAATTTACGCAGCGCCTAGCTGTAGCAGCTACTCAGCAACATGGGCCCAAGATCCATGGGCATTCCATGTGCCATGGGCTGGTTGCACCTAGTGGGAAAACGCATGTACAGGTGGCAATGGCCGGGCATCGTTTGCTGTTGCGCAGACTCGTGCTTGAAGTTTCATGGCTGGCCCTGGCCTGGCCTGGCCTGGCCGGCCCTGGCTTTGCTTTTCTTGCTTGCTTTCTTGCTTGCTTTTTTGGCTTGGCTTTGCTTTGCTTGGCTTGCTTGCTTACAGAGTACCGCGCTCCCCACCCCCTGTCCATGTCCTGTTCTGTCGCTGTTTTGTTCTCTTCTTCCATAGGGCTTTGGGAGCGTCTAAAGCCCCCCGGCGACGAGGGCCCCTCAGCTTACCGGGGCAGGTGGAAGGACAGTGAAAGCGACCCCAGGTGTAGTGCTGTTTTGTCCTCTCTCCCTCTCTCTCTCTCTCTCTTGCTTGCTTGCTTGCTTGCAAGGCGTCTGAGGGTATGGGGAAACCCCAGTACCCCCTGCGCGCTAGCGCTACGCCGCTGTCCTGTGTCTCTCTCTCTCTCTCTCTCTCTCCCTCTACCAGGTGGGGAGCACAGGGCGGTCCTACCTGCACTCCGCGCGTCTCTCTCTCTCTCTCTCTCTCTCAGGTCCCCCGCCCTTACAGAGCCATAAAGCCATAAAGTATGCAGCATGCGATGTCTCACGATCACCTCGACATCGGCTGACTCTGCAAGGATGAGTCAACAGATGCCAAAACTTCTCGGCTCTATATCAGACTCTCGCTCCCTCCACATCCGGACATGGCCTGACCGACTACCCGGCAGATGTCCGGACATGTAGCCGTGCCAACACTGCCGGCAAGACATGCGTGATCTGCGCATCGCTAGGGTCGATGCTGACACTCAGGACAACCTGGCAGCCGACCGAAGCGAAAACAACATATCATTGCAGGAGGAATTACGCACTGCCTCCGAATTCGGAGCCACTGCCACCTTGGCAAAGAAAGGCGGCTCCATCAGATTTCTACAGCTGCTGCAAGGCCAGGGCCGGAGAGATTGACACTGCGAAGGCATAGGACAGCAACAGTGCTGGAGAGAAGTCGCCATCATTTGTGCCTCCGCCAGGTCCACATGTCGCCAACAAATTCTGAGGTCTGTGCCCCAAGCCCCAGCTCGGCAAGCTAAGTGGAGAGCTCAAAACGATGTTACTGCGATTCGCAGTGTCCTTCAGCAGTCCACACAGTGCGGGCAGCACAGCAAGAGGTCTTTGAAAGGCCCCAAAGGCCCAAGCCCAGTCTGCTTCCAAGACTTCGATTCGCCAGATCGGAGCGGCACCAGCTCCGCCTCCCAAAGACCAAGGAAGAAGAGCCCAAAACCCCGAGTCCGATCGAGTGGCCTGAGATTTCTGCGGGAAGAGCGAGTTGAACCTAACGGGACAGAACCGTGGCCATGCTTCGATGCACCAAAGGCAGCCGCCTCCAGCTCGTGCTTCATTTCATTCACATTCCCCAAAAACTCCGCGACGAGTGTGCTGCCAACGGCAGCAGGCACTACCGTAGACGGCCTGCACAAACACCATTCGACCAGCTGACAAATTAAAAACGGCTGAAGCCCAACCTTAGCTGGTTGTTGGACTGAGCATCTTTTAAGACCATCTCCTGCAAAACCCAGTGGTGAACAGCCCTCTTGAAACGATTCAATTTCGTTCCCCTGCCTGCAAAAGCAGATCTCCAGCTGAAACTCGAAGATGTTCCCCGGGGATGGCACGGAGCCACAAGCCTCTTGTCAAAAGGGACCAAGGGGTCCGAAGCAAAGTGACTGCCTGCCAGTGCCGGGCTCCCCTGCTGAGGTGAACCAAAGCCTGGTCTCCCGGTCGTGGAGGTAAGCGGTCAAGAAGCACTCTTGCTGCCTGAGAATTGTCGCTCCCTTTTTAAAGCATGCTCACAATGTTCACAGTAACTGCGGCCTCGTGGACTGTGTCTTGCAGCCAGGGAAAGACCTGAAGATCTGCCACCTGAGGCAAGACGCAGCTGAAGTGGAGCTGCGCACAGAGCTCTGCCAATCACACCGTGCCTCCACCTTCCCCAGCACAGTGAAAGCTTCCACTGCCTCCCGGCAACATGACTATGCAAGAGAACCAGATATGGATTGGCATGATTCTTGCCTTGCCGCTGTTGCTCAAGGCACCAGATAAATCATAAGTGTGGGCCTCCGCAGCGAAGCTCCGGGCAGCTAGTATGTCCACCACGGCACTAGGGTGTTTAGACCTCGAAGTGGACAGTACCGGCGACCGAAGGCAATCCCACATTCGCCAACAAGAAGACGTACCTCCTGCCAGGTGCCGGGGGTCCCTTGATTCTTGTCTGGCAAGGATTGAGAGACGAAATCGCCTTGCCTGTCTGGTCGCATAGAAGCAAAACTGCCCACTTCTCCAGCAACGGAGGTGAGAAGATTCACGCCATGCAATGCCAGCTGCACACCTGCACAAGGGACTGCAAGTAGTTCATGCCTTTACTTGGAATCAAGCCGGCAACTGTGCCAAGCCTGTGTCATCTGGGAGTATGCTTTCCTGGCTGCTATGGAATCGCTGAAATTCCGGCGACTCTGCTTGCATCCCGGAAGGCCGGCCTCTCTTGCGGAAAGCAGCCTTCCAAGACGGTTGCTTCGAATGCAGTGCAAGACACCCCTTCAAATCGAGCTTGTGAGCGACTAGCTGCAGGGTTGCGCACATAACAAGTCACAATAAACCCAAACACTCCTTGTAGCAGAGAAGTTGAAAGCTGCCGGCTGCAAAGCCTGCATGCCGGCTGGACAGGAATCATGAGAAACATCTTGATGCTGTCCGATCCGTCTTCTCCAGACGGCCTTGAGGCACCATCGAGCTGCGGCAGCTCGGATCACAAAGGAGAACTGAAGCTGGACAGGATATGCCCCTGCGGCTTGCCTCCAGCATGAGTCTGCTGCTCGTCAACAAGAGCTTGGCTGCATTTCTGCATACTGGCCTGGCGCCCACCAGGGGCTCCAGAAAAGGCCTCATTCGGCTTTCCAAGGCTGCGCCGCAGTAGAGTGCAAGTGGATGCAATAGGCATCTGCGTCCGAGTCCTATTCATGATGTAAGCCACACCGACATGCTTCGCAGCTCGGATGTTGAGGAAGTGACTGCTGCACTTGCGGCACGACGCGCCAAGACATTAGATCGCTACCTGCACTTGCAGTGGATAACTTGGCAGAGCTTTCGCAAAAACACGAGGCACCTTCTACTATCGAGCCGTTCCGCCACAGAGATGCCGACCAGAAGTTTTCCTGGAAAGGAAAAGATCAAGGCTTGCACCTAAGCCCTGACCTCGCTTCCTCCTCAGCTGGCGCTAGGGATGCGCTGACCGCCTGGCGCTATGTACTCGGAGAAGCAGGTCAGGAAGGAGATGGTCAAACGCTGCTGTAGTCATGCACTGAATCGTGTCTTCACACCTGAAGCATCACCTGGACAGAGTCTCCGAGAGATTCCACCCTGGGTGTGATGGCTTCAAGGGTCGCAGCGCTTTGGTGCAAAGCTAAGCCTCCCACCATGAGGAGTTGATCCGCAAGTGCAAACTGCGCCCCGAACAGAAAGCCTGTGCTAAAACGGACAACACGGGGTCAGGCTGAAATAGAATCACACCTCATCTGCTTCCTGCGGCCCGAAGACACTTTGGTTCGCCAGCGTCAATGGACTTCGTGCATCTCGGCCCTGAAAACGAGTCTTCAGCGGCTTCTTCATGTGGCAAGTGATCAAACGAGGTTGGTCATCTCACATCACTGGGCATGAAGTCAAAACACTGCAATGACGGTGGGGCCGCAAGTTGCACAGGCTGTGTGGCTCACCTGCTCCTGACATGAACGGTTTCCAGGATGCCGGTCCGTGAGCCTTGAACGTCCTGGTTTGCGTGGTTCCACGATGGCCCTTGAAAGCCCGATGGGCCACCCCGATCTGTGAACGACGCATGACGCATTATGTCCCGATGTTGACACTACGTCAGAGGCGTGTCTTCTGGCATCACGGAACTCCAAGTCGGATCTCCTGTTTGAAGCACAAAGGAGACTCATTCACTGCTGCGGATCACAGCCCCAGGGCTGAGAAAAAGAATGTCTTGCTTCCGGTTGGCGATTGTCCGGGTTCCCGCAATGCAACCAATCTAGAAAACCTTCGACAGGCATTCCCCACGGCAGGGCCCCGGTGAGACCCTGCCTGCCAGGATGAGTCACCCATGCTTCTTTTAGAGCATGCGACATGCACGACTCTTCTGTCCGATTATGGATAGCATGCAGGCGAGTTGCGCACGTACTTGGATCTGTCATATCGCCAGCGATAACTTGAGCTTGCCTTAACAAGGCTGATTCAAACAGACTACAGCATTCGGTACCTACTGATGCCTGCTGTCCAGCCCTTTCTCTTCCTTTTCTCTTCAAGTGTTCTTTCACATCCCCTTATCTCGTCTGGACCGCTTTGGCGTAGCCAGGCCTGGCGTAGCCAGGACCGTCGCAATCAGCCGTGCCATGGTGAACAAGGCGTAATGTAGCTTTGGTTCGAAGTTCAAGGACTTGAACCCGACATCCCTTGTGACTCTATGTCTTATTGGCTTTAGCACCGCGCCGGTCTGAGTAATTTGTGCAGCGACTGGCAGGCTCACTCGGGAAGACGGCACAAATGTGAAACACACCGTTCCCTGAGCCTTACTTATCCTTGAGTGCACCACTGCCAACTAGCTTCAAAGCCTACAGCCTACAGTACCCCCTATAGCTCTGCCATTGTCATTTCTGCAGGTTCCGGCGGGCTTCCTAGTTTCCTTCATATGCAACTGGAGCGCACCCTGTCCGAGTGCTTCTTCCCTGTGGCATCTTGGTCACTCGGCTGCGGCTGCTTCCAGAATCTCTGGATTCTGCCGGACAACACTTTCGCAGGCTGCCTTCTAGACAGGAGAGGGGCTCAAGGAAAAGAGCCAGCAGCCTTGGACTCTTCTCAGTGTGAGCCCAAACTCGCGATTTCCCCCTCTTCTTCTCTCTCTGATTCTTCTACCTGCTCCCTCTTCAAACATTTGCAAACGCAGTTGCAGACACTCGCCAGAAATCGGAGTTGCCGCCAGGTTGAAGCCACTTGGAGCAGTGATTACCAGCTCATCATCTGCCTAAGGCAAGCAGGCCTTCACTGCCACCCGAAGACATCCCATCGGTACACACGGTAGCAGCCGAGCTTCGACGATGGGACTGGCAAAACCAACGACGAGTGTCAAGTCCAGTACTGTATCGCCCAGGTACTCGTTTCCTCCGTGATGCTCATGCGCAGCACACATCAGTACACTTGCTGCCGCTAGCTCTGGGAGCAAGGGCAGCGAGCACAAAGCTCAACACATCATCTGTTGTTTACCATCTGGCCTCTGTTGATGACCGCCCAGCCTCAGCTACAAAACAAGCTTTATCGTGCCGTGGCTTCGGTGTGTCAACTTGGGAGAATGCAGCATGAAAACACAGCAACAGACATAGGCAGAGCATCATGGCCAAAAGTTCAATGGTAACCTCCCCACTAGAATGTCCATCCCTAAACCCTAAACCTTGTATAAACCCTAAACCCTACGTTCCTGTATCTTACTCCTATGTTGCTCGCACTCCTCGACTCTATGCTTGAAATAACTCCTGACTTGTTGTTCTACTATAGTTACTACAGTTTTCGTAGATTCCTCCTCTCCTGGTTTTTTGTATTCGGCTTTTCTTTCTCCAGCGTCGTTCTTTTACTGGCTCTGCTTCGTCGTACAGTTCATACTGTTCTTGCGCATGTATTGCCTTCTTCTTGTACGTTGGACAGCTGCTGAGGTACCGCTCGCATTTCCGCTTGTACTCCTGCTTTATGCCCCTAAACCCTAAACCCCTAAACCCTAAACCCTAAACCCATCAAGTGTTGTTCTCATCGCTCCCAACAGTAGCCTCAGCAGCCCAGGACCTCTGCGAGACTTGCTAACCGTCTATCTGAGGACCCTTGCGGAAACGGACTTTCGTCGGTGGCTACACACAGGTTCGTGGGCGACATGATACCAGGAATATTCACATGCTCCATATCTACATGTCCATGAGCCCTAAACCCTAAACCCTAAACCCTGTACTGGAATCCCACGTCCTGAACCCGCAGAGCTGCTCTAGGTTTAAGAGTTTGGCAGGATCCGTCCTCGGCATGACAGCAAAAATCCTAGCATAGACATTGGGAAAGTAAAAGTGAGATCGCATATGGAAATAAGCCCAGGTTAGGTCGGCTCGCATCGTAATTTCGTTTCTTTTGCAGGCCAGGTCGGGTCGCTGATTTCATTTAGAAATTTAGTATCGAAAGGGATTTCTTGGCCCTCAGCTACTGGCGGCCTGTGAAGGGTCTCCAGCCTTCCCTGCCCTTCATTGCCATGCGTTTCGCATTTCGGCCAGGTTGCAGTTCAATCTGTCCTTATGCGGTTCAACAGTTCGACCTTGACCAGACTAGCTTTGCAGAGTGTGCTGAGACTTCTGAAATTAGCGACCTCAGCGGCAGCTGTACTCACAACCAGGCTCCCTGGTATCAACCGCCAGGCGAGGTAGCATGCTCCAAAGGTCCATCTGCTGTCTCGAACAACTGCAGCGCTGGCCCTTGCACAAGATCTGCCGGGCAACTCGCCATGCGTTGATAAACACGAACTCCGGAAATTTGCCCCACGTCGTAGATGAGCTTGCTGATAACTTCTGCATCTGCTGGCACATCCAACTGGGCTGCAAAGGAATAGTGTCGCAGTAGACAGAAGTGTAGAGAGAAGTGCCAAAAAAGCACCAAAAAAAGATGCAGCCGGAGATACCCGGAAGGTTTGGAGGCGCCATACTGCCGCGTCGCGGGGGACGGGCGGAGGCTCTGCTGCGACCCAGAGCTCGTAGAAGGAGACTCCGGCCCTCACCCAAAGCCGTGGTTTAAAGAATCAGAAATTAGGGGCTTCTGGAAAACTGCGATGAACCAAGACGCCAGGAGTCTTCTGTGCCTGAGCATTGAATCAACTCGACATGACAATCCTTGGAAATGTTTGCAAGCGGCCGGCATCCTGCACGGCAACCGAGCAAAGTGCTGGCAACGCGTACCACCAGCTGCCCACCGGTCGCCGCGCAGGTCGTGTTGCCACCCTTCGAACCATCGAAGCGAACGGCCCATCCATCGAGTCCAAAAGAGCAGTACAGCTCGGGAAGCAATGTCCAGCCTCGCCACGTGCGCAAGCTGAGACAAGGCAGACGACTCCCCGGATAGGCACGAAACACAAGTAAGGCTGCTCTGGCGCTGAATGCCGCAAGCCAAAGAATGGTAGAGACTCCGAATGACTCCGAGACTGGTGTCTGTTTTCAGAAGCGATAACGACGGGAGGCTACCGTCCTGGGTGGCGGGGGAGAAGATTCCATGATGGTGCGACTATTAACATGATTATCTGCATTCCTATTACTGTGCTGCCACTGTTGGTAGGAGTAGGAGCAGGAGTAGGAAGAGCAGTCGGAGTGGGAGTAAGAGAAGTAGTCGTAGGAGTAGCAGCAATACCCCGTAGCAGCAGGAGGAGGAGGAGGATAGCAGGAGCAGTAGTAGTAGTAGTAGTAGTAGCAGCAGCAGCAGCAGCAGTAGTAGCAGCTCATGACTCTCGTTACTATTCATCACACTACCACAGTAAGATAGAGTGCCCAGCATGATGGAAGCACAAACCGTTTCGGGATCCTTTCTTCCGGAGCCGGAGGACTGGCAAGTGGTCGAAATAGAAACCATTCCGGAATACTGGAACCAGACATCATTAAAATTTTGCAGGATGTCGAAATAATGGGGGTGGAAACCGCAGTTGAAGAGGACGTGAATGTCCAGTGTTTCGGAGTATCCTGAAATCATACTGGGCCCCGAACAATGAAAACAGAGACCATTTGGCGATAGTTGTCTTGGGAATTGTCCTTGAGGAGGTGGGGAGCCCCAGTACTACTCTGGAGGGCTCAAAATAATTGAAACTTGAACCATTCAGTAGGAATCCAAAACTTCGTCCACCTCGATATAATGGAAATTGAAACCATGTGGTATCCGTCCGGTTGCCCATCACCTCTTCACGTGCGTCGTGCATACACCTCGAAGCCAACACATTAATCATGGAATCCAAAATGCCGGTCCGCAAAGCTAAGGCAGATTCAGAAACCTTGTGATCCTCTTTTGCGCCTCATTAGTTGCTTGACCTGCCTTCGCTGCTTTGCAATGCCGGCTTCTGACTGAGGCTGCAATTTCGAGCGCGCTTAGCTTTCCGGCCCCTGTGGACTCCACACAGCCTCTTCTCGTCAAGTCACTCGCCCTCACATCACCCACCATTGAACTCAATAAACGACAAGAGCCCTTCCCCTTCCAATGCGCAATGATGCTTCAGGATTAGATCAGCTGGGCCTTGGGGAGCCTCTAGCTGCAACTCTTGGAAAGCGCTTCGCGGCTGGAATCGCACCCGCACTGGCGGCGTTTGCAGAGAGCTCGCTGGTTCAAACAAACATGACCTCAGATGCAATTAAGAAATGCCCCGAGGCGCCCCTCGCATCGGCGACCCCAACAGGACATCTCACCAACCTCGCAGTGCTCAGTGCAAGAGCAAACGGCCCTGGTTCTGAGCCCGAGATGCTGGTAGGCCTGCACAGCGTCATGCAGTGTCAGAGGGGGTTCTACACAGTCATGATGGGCGTTCAAAAGGTGCTTTCCCAACCTCCGACTCTCCTGAACCCCATACCTTTACTGCCATCCAACATGCCTGCATGGGCCATTCCACTCTATGAGGACTGCAGCTCTGCAACACCTAGAAGCCAAGAGAAGAGACTTCCCCGAGCCCCGCAGCCGCAAAACGAGCCTGAGCATCGACGCTGGAAGCGGGCACTGCTATTGGAGTAAAGAGTCCCTGGATCTGCCAGAGTGGGAAGGATTCGAAGAGCTCACTTGCTTCATTTGCCAAGGTGAAACTCCAGGTAGGGTTCAAGGTTGGCGGCACCGGTGGATTCGTCACTCGAATTCGGAAGGCGTACTTGGTGTTGGCGGCGAGCAGGGCTGGCGCAAGGGTCGCTTCTGCAACCTCTCCTCTGCCGATGCACTGCGCGGTCGACCCGGCAGGCAGTGCATGAAAGCCATTGGGAAATGTTTGCCCACTTCCGAAAACATCTTCGGACACAACGAAACCTGGCAGGGGGCGTCATGGTGTGTATGATGCTTGCGCAGGGCCCGCTCGCTGCAAAAAACCCACCTTCTGAACAGTCATCAGAGAAGACGAAACCGTCTGGAGCTGTCAATCGGAGGTTTGCTGTGCTCTGGACAAGCTGTACTGAGAGGGCGAAGAAGAAGATCAGGTTGTTCACCTGACAAAAGAGAAACGAAGCAGACGTGAGGGATCCCAAAAGAGAGCTGCTTAAAGCGTCCCCCCATACTTTTTGGTGGACTTAGAGCTCCTCTCTCAAGCAGTCAAGCAGCAGCTCCAGGCTGATCATTTCGATCGCTCGCGACTCTCCTCAACTGATGGCCCGTGCGATGCTACACACTGCGAAGCCCCCTTGTATCCTCTAGACTCTCGTCATGGTGCTTCCCAATCATATAGTAGCGAGATATCTCAAGCTTGGAAGATGCTGGCTCGTACACTCTGTCCCATGCTCGGCACCACTTTGACCGTCATCCCGTTCTACTGGGGATGAGCACGTGACCAGCAAAGCACTGCGAAGCTCTGTATGCCAGATAGGATCTGCACAACCGATACCTCCTGCAATCCAGCAAGCGCCATCTTCCTGGGCTGATCTGAAACCCAAACGGCATGTCGTTATGCGGAACATAATATCCTTCTTGCTGTCCGCTCTGGATCCAGGCAGGAATCTCCAAAAGAGGAGGAGAAGCGACGACAAGGCGTTGGTCTAGCTCGTGGAGGATGCTGGCAGAAGCATCCTGCCCCAGAAAGTCGGAAAAGCACGGAAGTCGACACGCGCAGATTTGTGGCTGGATATTCTGTCAGGTGCTGGCTTCTGTTGCTTCTTGGTAGCATCGCCTCCACAGTCGTGAAGGACCAGCACTGCAGAGATCCACCTGAGTCCCCAGCCGGAAAAAAGACTTCACAAGTCTTGAAACTCGAGCGAGGGCATGACACTGCGCGTTCATCTCCTCAGTCTCGCAAAGGCCATGCTTTCCGCTGCTTTCCACGGCACCCATCGCAGCAAACCTCTGCAGACCGAGGTGCAGCTTCGGCGCTCAGCGAAACCTGGGCTCTCTGCACTCTGAGTGTCGCACTCCCCCTCATTATGAATCCGTTTTCTGTTAGGGAGCCGGGTTCTGCACCGGGAGCTCGAAGACGTAGAGGCCGGCCTGGAGGCTGGAGCTGCCCGGCTGCAGCTGGATGCGCGGGACGCCGCTTTGGCGGAAGAAGGTACACCCAATGCCTCCATCGCCTCGGAAAAACGCAGGGAACTCTCGCGCCCAAAAAGGGCAAGGTCTCTGAAACCGAAACATGGCCATGGCATCGAGCCGAGCATCCCATGCTTCGAAGAGCAAACCGGTCAACGGTCTCAGGAGGGACATCCACCGGCTGGCACTGCTCCGAGAAGAAGAAGCCCTGAGCAAAGTCCGTGCGTTGCGCAACTTCCTAGTGCAACTTAAATGTCTTGTTACATGGCATGTCTTCGCACGTTGGCTCAGTGTGTCGGCCTCTGGGCCTTGAATGAGCAATGCCCCTCGTGGAGCTGGCACAGTTGTGACCAGTCGGATTCGAAATCGCACCACGCTCACTGCTGCCACACGCTGAGTGCGAAAGGACACCTCGCAGGCATGTCTCTTCTGCAGTGTCGCTTTACTCGGGTGCCCCATTTAGCCTCGCCATCCAAAAGCGCACGAACAAGCGGAGCAGGTCGTACGGAGGCGGCAGGGCGAGTCAAGGACAAAAGCACATGGAGCTCGGCATCGAATCTCTCGACATGTTGACCTCAAGCGCCAATCACATGTGATGCAGCATTGCTCAGTTACTCAATTTCATCAAGCCACACGACAAGTAGGAGCAGAGGGAACACGAAGCATCGGAGCTTGTAAAAACGATCTCGATCTCAGCCTCGGGGTTGAGAGGCAAACTCTGCGCAGCGGCTCCGCTACACACCGACAAGTTGAAGTCCAAGACACACAGCCATGTCGAAGCAGACAAGCTTCACGGCAGATATCGCGAAGCTGCTGCAATGCACTTGCGTCGGCAAGTGACTGAGAGTACTGAAATGGCAATTCCGAAGATGCTGCTTGACAATGGAAGGCACATCCAGTTGTGCGGAGGAGTTCCCAGCTTGCAGCCATTGCCTCTTCATCGTAACCAACTTCCAAAACGAAGGAATGGCTGGACTGAGTCGAGCTTCTTGACGGAACGGCCACAGGTGCCAGGAAACCGTACCTTGCATGCGCCACTTTTCTGCGCCCATACACTGCATGTAGGAAATGTCGGTGCGTGAGTGCGCGTGTCTGTGCCCGCTGCTGAAATTGCACTAGGGAGAACGCGAGTTTGCGTTAGTTGTGGCATGCGAGGGGCCAAGAATCTGTGAGTCTGTCCTGACCAACCACGACCAGACAACACGCAGGTGCAACTGTACGTTCGCTCTCTCCCGGTCTGTCTGTCCCGTCTGTCGTGTCTTACGACGACGACAATGAGGACGACGACGATGAAGACGACGACTGCGACGACAACTAAGGTGAGTCTCGTCGTCACTTGGCCACCTTTGTCTGTCAGCCGAGCTATTGGGTTTTTTCCTCATTCTTCTGCGCAGGGTGCGAGGTGGAGGAGCGACCTTCCACCCCAGGCGCCCCCCATATGTTGTGGGGGCGTGTCTTGGCAAAGGACTGACACGGCAGATTCGCCGAGCAGCAAGAAATCCTAGAGCGACTACTCGTTGCAAAGCATGAAGTATCTCACCGCTGCGCCATGCAACCGCACAAAGAAGAACTGCAATGGCAAGCTTGCCGAAACAGCCAACCAACCCTATGGTCGGCCAGAAGCAAGGCACAAGGGTTGCTCCCTTACGGCTGTAGAGAAACGCCACCATGAACAGAGCTGCAACAAATCAGGAAACTGTGCGGACTCCGCCCCTGTGGCTCGAAGTGCGCAGAGAGGCGACCCAAGGGGAGAGAGATCTGAATGGCTCCGGCTGCGCTTCATTCAAGAATTGAGCTGGTTAACGGCTGAACAAGGGCCGGATGAGGTTCTCCGGGAAGTCCCCCGCCCGCCCCGCAGAATTGAGGAAAAAGAAAAGGAGACTCCCTTCGATGTTACAAAAAACGCAAAGCAGGAAAGGTCTCGGCCGGCTGGGGTCCCCTTGAGATGCCAACGGCTGCAAAAAGCAGGTTGTGGCATGTTGCAGTTTTTTCGCTCAGGCTGGTGGGGTGGCAGGACCTGTGCGGAAGCTTAGCTGATTGTCGGTGGTGAAGGTGCGCAGGGGATGCAGGGACGCAGACTGGCAGCAAGTCCATGACTTGGTTGTTGAGCAAGGTACACCGGTCGCTGCTGGGTCAGTTCAGTTTGCTTTCCAGCAGGCTGCATCCCCCCACTGTTATGCTAGAAGACGCGGAAAATGAACAAGAACAAGCGAAATGCATGTGATGTGCCGGGCGCAACGCCCTCGACAGATCCATGGGATGATCTAGCGATTTGCGCTGTCAGTACGTTGATTTGCTGTTGCATGGTTTGCATGGGCTCACGAAGCTGCTGCGTCATGGTGACAACTGCTTCATGCATTCTATCCCTACTTTTACGGAGCTCTTCTCGCATCTCATTTCGGAGCTCTGACGCGACAGAGCCCTGAGACTCGACGGGAGAAGCTTGTGATGGCGAGTGGCCACATGCAGTAGGTGAGGGAAGCAATGGGGGTCTCGAAGCTGCTGGTGTATGATCCGCGCCATTGTTGGCTTGCATGCGTGTGTTTTCGCGCGTCAACCGGTCGATCGTTTGATCTCTCGGCTGTAACAGTTGGTGAAGCATGTCGATTTCTCGGTTCGCCTGCAAGACAGCATCTTGAGCATGCAACGCGAACTCGCTAGTTTGGCTTTGTTTGTTCGCTACCGCACGTTGTGTTTGAGCTTCAACCTCTAGTGCATGCCTTTGCGCCTGAACCTCAGCGTGCTGCATGCTGCGCAGGCATGCACGTGTAATCTGTTCTGATGGCACCTTCTGGAAAGAAGAGGAGGGGGGGCACCATATGGTGGGGGGGGAGGGGGCCCCCGCCACCTTGTCCGTTGCTCTAAAACAATCATTTCCGTGGTGGCGCGAGGGGGGGGCCACCCCCCTCCCCCCTTAAATATTGGAAACGGACCAGATAAGGTCCTGCGTGCGTGTTTGACCTAGATCTCTCTTACTAAGTGAATGGTAAACGACAACTCCCGCAAGCTGCACAGAGCTAGCTTTCGTGATCACTTGCAAGCTGCGTCTCATAATACGATTTCTCACTCTCTCTTTGCTTCGCCAGGGCTATGGTCTGGCTCTCGCTTGCTTGCTTGCTTGCTAGGGGTTTCGGGCCTAGACCCCCGGCCCGAAGGCCAACCCCACAACGGTTCGCGTCTGTCGGATCCCCTTTTTGGGGCTTGCAGAAGTGTTCCCTCCAGGTGATCACAGCCAAACCCCCCCGAAAGAACACCCCTCCTAAGGCCATGACCATAAAACCCACTCTGTGCTCACCTGGGTCCTCCACTCTGCGTTCAACGCTGAGCCACCGCTCGAGCTCCACTCTGCGATGGTCGACTCTGACTCTCTCTCTCTCTCTCTTCCTTCCTTTCGGTGGGTCTGAGTCCGGCTGTCCGGGCCCGCGCCTAGGCGCCCCCTTCCCTGCTGCATAGCATAAAAAAGAGGCTTTCGGGGTCATGAGCGGCGAAGGTCACTCTCTTTCTCTCTCTCTCCGAGGCATGCCGGAGTGCGTTGTGACTTGGGCGTGAAGTTTGGTACCTCGGTGTGATCCTCGGTGACCCTCGGTGCCTTGGCTTGCCCGGCCCGCCGGATACATTCCACTAATATCTTATTTGCATCATCCGCCTCCCCGAGGCGGTTCTGTGTGTGGCCACAGCTGAGATTGCACTAGGGAGAACGCGAGTTTGCGTTGCTTGTGGCATGCGGGAAGCCAGGAATCTGTGAGCGTCTGTCCTGGCCAACAAAGACCCGACACCACAGAGCTTCAAACTACCTGCAGAAGCAACATAGTGGAGTACCTGGGCACGCTCATGCAGCGGGTATCCACAAAGGACTCTTAACCACAAGATCCCTAAACCCGCGAACGTGTATGCAGAATGCGACTCAGCTGCGTTTCCAGCGGATTGTAGAAGGCACTTGACCAAGTCAGAACATTAAGGTGTTGCTGAGGAAGTCCTCAGGGCAGTTCCCTCACTACCGTCACCTATCACTACCACAATGCATCAGGTTGTAATATAATATATATAATATAATATAATATATATAATATATAATATATATTATAATATATAATATATATATATTATATAATATTGGCAATGAGAAGCGTCCTGCTGGCCAGTCCACACTGGCGCCTGGTACCTGAAGCGCCTCCTCGAGCGACGTGAGAGAAGCGTTTCCCGCGGATGAGATGAAGCTCGTGTCAGGGAAGTTGAAGATGAAACCAACGGGCACCGTCAATCGCAAGACGCCTGGGTGTCGACAAAGCCCAGGTCTGCATGCAAATGTAAGAAGCTCGCACATCTCCTACCAAGCAATCACTTACGACTGAGTTGCTGCTGAGATGAATTCCGCCGAGGCGGAAGAGCAGGTGCAGTACTGCTTCCTTTCCGGTCAACTCGCGAGGCTTCAGGTCAGAGATGTGAACTTGAATTGAAGCTACTTCTCGGTAGTAGAGCTGGTAGGAGCCACCATTTGCAGAGGATATGGCGACACTGCCATCCATCCTCCCTGCAGCCGCTTCTGTAAAGAGTGACCAGTCAGCGTTTGAAGCCGCGAAGCCGACGATTCTCGGCGGAACCACCCGAATCTGCCATCCGTATGCTTGCCCGCCGAAAAGGCGCTCTTCCAAACTCACCCGAGCCGCATCAAAGCCGCCGAAGGCCTCACTCTGCCGGGCCCCGGCGCAGCTCAGAAACGGAAGGCGCCGTGTCACCTCTCCAGCCCTGCCTTTCGAATAGTAGTGGCCGCCCAAGGGGAGGTCCGAGACATCACAGGCGATACCGAAATCGAAATCAGGAGGAGCCTGGAGCACAACCGTGCCACCTGCAGGGAGCATCTGTGCCGTTCTGAAGAAAACTTGGAGTATGGTGCCAGCGAGGGAAGCATCACCTTGCAGCAAAGAGGGCAGCGTTGGCTGATAGCTCTGCGGTTGCAGCGAGACATCCGCTAGACGGCCCAGAACGGCAACAGAGGCTGTGTAGTTTTCCCCAAACAGCTGCTCAGATACTTGGAATGCATCGGAGACGTTTTTGCTGCGTCGGGTAAAAGGCGAGGAGCCCATGGATTCGAGACCGAGATGCCAAACGTTCATCGGATCATCGCCCGGAAGGGGGCTTGCGGGGTTCCTAACTCTAAGCCGGACCATGAAGGAGGTGCCCGCAAAAATCGCGAATCCGGCACGAAGGTTGAAGAAACAGCTCCGTGATCCGCTGCTCCAACCATCTTCCTGGAGACTGCCTAGTAGGCTTCCTGACAAGATCTCACCACGGCATGAAGAGGAGAGAGAACGGCATGACCACTGTCCTTGATCGACGAGGGCCTCGATCGCTTCCGGAACCTCTGCTGCAGAGCATCTGTAGCCCGTGGGGGTCTGAATTTCCAGTGTCGCGGCCTTGGTGGCATGACCACCCTTCGTCCTACCGGATTTCAGAATCGGCAAAGAGCAAAGAACTGCAAGTTACGGCAAGCAAGCTGCGAAGTCGGCGAACTCGCTCAGCAAAGTTGCTCCTAATCGTAGTTTCACGTAGAGGGTATTGCCTTCAAGGAGCTCAACAACAACTTGTTTGCACGTTGTGAACAAGATGTAAACAACGATAGTAGCTATAAAGCCTGCCGAATTTCCGACCTGACAAGCAACTTTCTTGCGCTTGGAAAGGCCGTTCGTTTCCAGCGGTGCTGAGCAAACCAGCCACGGCGGTGGGGCTCCTGCGAGGCGCGCCATCCAATAAGTGCGACAACACATCGCTGATACTGCGAACCTTGGCCACCCCCATACTATATTATACTATATTATATATTAGTCTATACTATATTATATATTATATATTATATTATGCTATATTATATTATATTATACCCTCAGGCTCCTGTAAATGAAGTCACCAGAAGAAGCACCTCAGCTTCGTGACCAGCAATACCGAGTCCCTGCAGATCAACCCACTGTGAAACTCATAATGCCATAGAACTTAAGACGAAGGCGCTGTAGGTCGGAGCCACATCACTGGGTAAGCTGATCTGTATTCCGCAGCGTCCCGCGAACAGCCCTCCTGCCGGTGGCGCCAGGTTGGAGATCTCAAAGATGTTCTGGATGGCCCCGTAAATGTCGGCCAAATCCTTGCCGGCGAAGTCTCTAGACTTGTCTCTGAAACAGCATGCGATAAGCATGAAAAGTGAAGATGCAGCTGCGGATCACTCGGCAGCGTCATCTTTACCTGGGCAAGTAGGATGATGTAGGATGTATGACGACACAGACGGGTGCAACTCACAAAGCTCTCGCCAGTGAACCAGCCCTTGCATGATTCCAGCATGAAGGTTGGAATGGAATCCCACAGAAGTCTCCCCGCAGGCTAAATCCGATCCGTGGCACGGCATTGGGTCGAGTCCACGTCGTGCTTACCGCAAAACTGCTGCAAGACATCTCCGCGAGGCCACAGAAGCCAGTGTGATCAATGCACTTGGCATTGCACTCGCCCGTTCGGAGGTGCCATCCTAAGGATCTCAGAGCTCTGCAGTCGCACAGTGCTCAGCCTCGTGAGTCAGCCGAGTGTCCCATGAGGGGCCACAGGAAGAGTCTCAGATGACTGGAAGCTGAAATTGCTCGAAGCGCACTGCTCGCTTGCGGCTGCAAGCGCAACGTAGCGAGCCCAGATCCCAAATCCAGAATTCCTCAGCAAAGTACCATGTTGAAGGTCTCGGGCGTCGTGTCTTTGCAGAGCCAAGCTGCCGTTTGTACCCCCAAGGATGGGACAGTTTTGCCTCAAGTCCGGGAGGGCAGAGAGTTAGTTAGACATGCAACATTCACTGGAAAGATCATCCTGAAAGCCACGCGGCAAGTCTGGTTCACCAGCAGCTGCTGCTGGCTCCTACAATTTCTTGCGACTCCAGCAGATGTGTTTTTCCCACTTGTGGGACTAGGACGTGCTCATTAAATGTAGGGGCCTAAATAATTAGAATAGGGTTTTGGGGCGTAATTATATGAAGGAACCATATACTTAGAATCATGTTAGCATGAACCGCGTTAAGCTCTGGCCTGAGGGCTGCTCTGTAGACGGCAGCGGCCACGCTCGGCCACATGGAAAGGTTTGTGCTCCAGATTGTCCATAACCTGGATGTCACCATTAGAATGACAATGACGAGTCAGACCCGATCAGAGTTCGACATGTTGCAATAAACTGCCTTCGAAACTATGACGGTTGTTTCTGGGGTGCTGCCGCCCATGAAGAGCCGTGTTCCGAGATGCAACGATACTTGCAATGGCCTATACAGACCAGACGAGGCGCAAGTATTCGAAGTACTTCATCCCTGAGATTCAGGCAGTGGGGAATACTGTGAGAGCCGCGAGACTGCTGTAGACTTCTCGCTACGCGATTCCGGCAAGCAGCCCTTTCTGCGCCAATTGCCCGATCACGCCGTTCAGAACCATGTGGTACTGCTGCGGCTTCAACATGACACCACGGCGAAACACCAGGCCAACAGCCCATGAGTCTGCAGTCCTGGGATGGACTGCCGCTTGCAGCATGAGCTATGAAACTTCAACCCTTGCCAAACTTGAAGGCTAGCATGGGACTCTAAGTTCCGCAGTGATCCTCAATTTGATGGAAGCTTCGCACGCTGCAAGTAACACCCGTGAGGCAGTGGAAAGCCATCCACATCGTCTGATGCGATCTCCTTCAGCACGCGAATCATTTCCCCCTGTAGCAGTGCTGACCAGCCTGGCTCAAACCAGCCTTGAAGAGAAAGCCGCACCATGTCTGCTTCGACCCCTCGGCAGAATTCTCGCCAGCAAGCTCTTCCATGACGTCGGTATCGTCTGTTGCTCGTCCTTCATATCAAGGATCGCCACCGTTTCGGTGGCACTCGACAAGAATGAAAATGGCTCTGCTAGGCATCTGCAAATTTGCTGCAGGGAGTCGAAGACCCAGCAGTGACGCGGTCGAAAACTCCAGGCCTCAGGCTGCGAAATTCTCCCTGAAGGGCACGACTGGCTTGCAGCTTGCGCTGACAGTATGCAAATTTTGCACCAGCAAGAAACCAACTGCTGGGCGAATCGCGCATTTGGCTTACCTCGCCGGCCTCCCTGCCAAGGTCCGTTGTGCGGTACGTGATCAAGACCTGATGCGAGTTTGTGTGACGTGAGTGCATGGTCCCCCGCAGATGAAGCAGGGACCGGATATGGTAGGCTGACGACCGGCGCAGCTTGATGTCTCCCGGTGGCCGTCAGGAAAATCTGACAATCTGCTTCGGCTGGCTCCTCCACGGTGAGACTGCCAGCCATCACAGATGGCCCGTTCCAAGGCCTCCAGCAGACCTGAAGAGGCGTCTTATTACGGCTTGTCGCCCCAGCAAAACCCCAAGAGCCGAGGCCCGTGCAGGCAGTTCACTTGCATGTGTAGCCCGAAGCTCCCGGGCTGTTTCCGCCTGGCTATGCCGGGTCCACCGTCCGGCACCGAAGATCCTGAGCCGTGCGCCGTGATGACAAGTTTACCAACACTAGCCTCGGCAAAAGCTCATCCAAGGCTCTCGAATACGGGGAGGCGTGAAGAAGGCCATAGAGCATCCAGCACGAAAGTCTGCTCATCGGGAGTGGATGTGGCTGTCCTGCACTAGATTCACTAGACGTGAAACGCGTTCCCAGCCCGCTGTACCGCCATCTAGTTCTTGTGACGCGGCCGGAGCCTTCCCACAAGATAATGTGAATCGCCGGAGAAACCACTGAAGTCATGATCACCTGCTCCACTTGACGATCCCGCAGCAGCCAGGACACCTTCCCCAGATCTTGCACAAGGCAAGAAGGCACGGCATGACTACGAGAAACTGCACTGCATTGCTCGTCACTCGCCTCGTGGTTCGTTCTAGCAGCGGCTGTGCAGCTGAACAAACATGAACAAACGACTGCTTAGTTGCATGCATCCAACGTTGTGGTTCTAGTGGCTTCGTGCCACTGCGCGCCTCGGAGTTCTTCTTCATCTTCGACAGAGCAAGCCCCGCTTGCAAGGCTTGCCGCGGAGCAGGCTGCCTGTTCACCCAGGCTTATCACATCCCCGGTCACCAGCCCGGGTGCAGAGCTGAAGGTCACGAAAGTCCCAGTTTCGCGAACCTGAGTGTCACAAAGCACGAATACCAGTGCAGAAGAACTCAACTACCGGCTCAGGCAGGAACCTCGATCGCCTCAAGGAAAACGTCGGGACAAAGACCAAGCTCTTCCGGCGCTCCACCACAGGGAACGCTGCTGTCGCTCAGAACATGGAGGAGTATACCGTCACTAGAATTGCTTTCAACACCCCCAGCTTCGCTGCAATTCCTGGGGCAGCTTCGCAAAACGGAGTCTTCCACTCTGGGAACATCTTCCATGCAAGACGCCCCTGGCTGCAGGATCAAGATTTGATCCGTCTCGACAAGACCCCATCCCAGAAGCTGCAGACTGAATACCACATCTGAGCTTACGGTCCAGTGCTGATATGCTGTAAGGTCCTGAGAAACTTTAGGACCTCGCACGGTCAAGCGCGTCAACAGCCTCCAGAATCCGTGTGTGCAACCTCCTTCCTCGACTCCACAGTAGCAAACTGCCACGCGCCCTGGTCGTAGAAACATCATGCCTTCATTGTCGCCACCCCTGAATGTCAAGCGGGAAGAGTTCGCCAAGTCTGGCTCGCCTCGGAATCTTTCCTGAATCGCGGCCTCGTCTAGCTCCGACGAGCGGTTGGAAATTGCAAGCAGGAAGAATTCAGGAGAGGACTGGTTCAAGAACGAGGCATACGGTATGCTACCACATTCCTGGTCAAGCACCTGATGCCCATCGTCCCCAAGAAGCTTCAAGTAGCCTTGCCGTGTCCCTGCTGGTGGAATGGACTCCGGAGGAGGCTGAAAAGCGATTGAAACCTCCGCCGAACTCTGCAGGCGCACTGCACCCGCCCTGCGTGGAACTTGCAGCAGGAGGCTAGCACCAAGCAAGCGCAAGGGAACAATGGACATCTCGCCAACTTTGAAGTAGCTCGGGACAGTGAACCTACTCCGGCAGTCGTACAAGCAAAAACAAATATCCAAATAGAATGTAGAGTGGAAAGCTCTTTGGCCATGCATAGGTCGATCACCCAGAAACTGGAAAGGACCCTCTGGTCCTTCTCCGAAGCGTTTCAGATCCTGGCGAATGCCCCCGGAGACAGTGCAATGTGATGGATCCAAGCAGTTGGCTGGCTGCGTCTGCAAGGGCGATTGCAAAGCTGTCCGGCAGCCCGTGCTGGTATCCCAGCTGGCACGGAAATTATCTGGCGATGGAGATGTGAGCTTCACACGGGATCCAGTCAGGTCCGGAACCGACTTACACACATCGGCAGGGCAAAGCACATGTATCTGAATCGGATAGAACGCAGCTACTGACGAGAATGACCCGGCACATGCAGCCCCCACATGTTCTGCATCTCCGGAGTGTAAACAAAGAAATGCCGCGAAAAAGTGCACGACGCCCACTTCTTGAACGAAGAACTCTGGCTCCAAACAGTTTCCAACAATAGGACACAAGCACACGGCAATTGTGTAGGCTTTGAAGGATTCATTTGCCAAATCGCCGCGTGCGCGAGGAAGGGACGCAAGCGCCTGGCTGTTGAGTGGGACAGAGTCGTCTCCAAGGTCGCAGCGATCTGCATTCAAGCAGAGAAAGGCTTCTCTCTCTTGAGACCGGCTCTGACAACTGAAGTTTTCGATAGTTGAGACAGTACCGTCGGAGCCATGGGTGATCTGCCATGGATCAGACCACGATATTCGCATCTGATCAACATTTCCCAGTACTCCCTGCTCCGAAGACTCTGCTCGGTCGAAAGTTACCTGGCAAGCACCCGCGGGACTGTAGGAACCTTGAAGGATGTGACAATACTGAAAACGCTCAGATAGACATGCTGATCCGCCACAAGCGAAGTCGTATGCACCCCGCACTCTTATCGTGATGGGAACCAAGTCGACACGACCACCCAATCCAAACATCGCATCCTCAGTGAAGCAAAGAGAGTAGTCACCGCCCTCCTTGAAAATCAAAGGCATATCAGTGGATGAAGGATGTAGGTTACCACTTTGCGCTGTGGCATCCACACCTCCATCTGCCCACTTGGCCGGCAGCAGTCGAAGGTACGTGCCCGAATGCACAGATGATGTCTCCTCAACACAAGCCCCCGCTCTTGCCGATCGCGTGGTGAGCTGGCCTCTAGCAACGAGTAACTGCGGCTGAATCCCCCAGTCATAATCTACATCCGGAGATTGGAGCTGCAGCATCACAACCGGCAGCCCTGCTGGAATCGAGACCTCTCTGCAGCTCAAACTATCGCACGTCTGGTTCTCGGCCATGCCAGGAGCAAACTCCACCAGCAGGCTGACACGAGATGGTAGGATGGGAGGTTGAGAGGAACTGGTGGTGGTGCTTGAGAGCCGAGTCGTGGAAGTGACGCTTGTGGTGCTGTGGGATCGCGTAGAGCTGGAACTGCTGGTGACGCTCAAGGTGCAGGAGGTGCTGGTTGATGTGACAGTCTCAGTCTGCGTCTGTGCTTGCGCACCAGTCTTGCGGATTGCCTTCTCCCCGTTGCTGGCATGGAGCTCGTACCAGGGAATATCTAGGTGCAAGATCCAGAGGCCAACCAGCCACTTCACGGTGCGACCGACTCTGAAGCATCCCATCCTCAGACGATTTCCCCACATCCCGGTCAGCATGACGTATGCTTCAAGAAGCTGAGTCTCTGACCATGCCGAACAGTTGGGCGAAAAAGGCCAACTAGCATGGCCATGGCCAAACTAGTGCCAACATCTCTTATGCCCTCCCTCGCGCACGTTTAGTTGCTTGCCTGTTTGATGCCTGCGGCATTGCAACACCTCACCCGTATTTGCTTAACTTCTCCACGGCTCCTGGGATGCAAACCATATGAATGGAAGACGGCCTGGCGATGTGGTGGCGTGATGAGAAGAAGCGGTTAAGCTTGGGGTTCGGCAGCTGCAAAAAAAATCGTGCAAAATGATACCTCAAAAACTGCAGCAGCATGGTTAACCGGTTAACCGGCCCAAGCAAGATGTTTGAGGACGACCAGCCGTAAGCATGGCAAGAAATTGCGCTAGCGTCGCACGGACTGTTCGCCAGTGCAGTGGATGAGCCTTTCAGCTTGCCGAGATGCGACCACCGAAACCCGGCGCTCCCGCCCATGCGGCAACTTCATATTGGGAGCTGAGCGTTGTTTCTAGCAATTCTAGCATTGCTGGCACCAACAGAAAAGAAACTTTGCCATTCTCGGTGCCGCAATGCCCAGTAAGGGCGCAGAAACAAATCCGCGATTCCCTCACGACTCGAGCAGAACTCTGCTTGAACTTGCACTGCTTGCACTCCGCATCTCTGCGCTGTTGGCACTGGCGTCACGGGCTTCCATCGGCCTTCTGCGGCATCGCTGCGCAATCAGAACCAAGAGAACCAGTGCGGCTGCGAAAGCCGAGACGAGTCCCACTGCCCAAAGGCTTGCATTAGCAGACCTTGGGCGAGGTGGAGGTGGATCTCTGTATGGATTGTGGATCCAGACACTGTCATACGCACTTCGCTGTGCGAGGGGCATGCGCCAGGCAGAGTCTGCATTGAAAGTTGCACCTGCCTGCTCCAGCTCTGCCGCACGTCTTGCTGCATCCTCTTTGTTCAATGCCGGTGGCTGCGTGGCATCATTTGTCTGCCATTCCCAGAGCATGTGAGTCTGGTTGACGATCGAAAGGCGTCCATGCCCAAAGTCCAGGCCATTGCGAAAAGCTGACCATCCTGGTTGAGGCATGTGGTCTTTGGCATGTCCCTCTCTGTTTCCCCCATCGCCGACAACAATGTAGGTTGGGGCGCCGGGTTGTGTGACGTTCTTGTACACAGGGTGGGTCCTCTCATAAGCATGCACATGACCACTTATCACAACTGCTGCTGCATGCGCATGCAAGAGATCTTCGAATCCATGCGCATCCCTCATCTCGATGGCCTGGCTTTCAGACTGATGAGCCACGTTGGAGCTGTAGAAAGGACAGTGCATCATCACAATCAGCCACGGTGTTGCAGCCCTTCTTCTTGCTAGAGCCTCCAGTTCCTCTTTGAGCCAGTTGTATTGTGCTGACTGCGGTCCGGTGTCAGTGTAGCTGTTCAACGAAATAACCCTGGCTGGACCGGCGTCGACGGCATAAAAGGAGTTTCCCCAGTCGTAGGAACCAGAAAAAATCGACGGAGTGCAGTCAGCCCCTGGGTGCGACCCCCTCGGCCAGGGACTCTGGCAGCCAATCTGCTTCTTGGACGGACGCGACTCTGCAGGCTGCACCGCTGGCATTGCGAACCGTGACTCGTACGCCTTGAAGCTCTCTCCTGTGTAGTAATCACTCTCAATTTCGTGATTACCCGGACACACCATCCACTGCAAACGTGATGAAAGGGGTTCCACCTTAAGACCGTACGAATCCCATCTTCGTGACTCTGTGTCAGCATATGCCATGTCACCAGCATGAAGAATAATTTGCAAACTGCGGTCGGCATCCAGGTGTCGAACCGTCTCCTCTGAATCAGCAGTCTGGCCCAAGTCGCCGATCACACCGACAACGAAGGGAAATCGTGGGTCTGACGGCGAGTTGGGCTTGCCGGATGCCGGCAGAGTTTTGAAGCTGCGTGCAGTGGCGGGGAGATCACCGTGCAAAGTGTAGGCGTACTTGCTACCTGCAACAAGTCCGTTGACTTGCACACGGTGGATCCGTCCAGATGTGTAGTTCCCAAAGAGGCCAGGAGCTGAACCCAAAGAATAGCGCGAGCACGTCCCAACGACCTGAAGGCTGTGAACAGATGGCTGAGCCGAATCAATGGGACCTCGGACTTCGGCCACAGCGACTTGTGAACAGGAGGCCAAGTCGTCTCGGTCGTCATCCGTGAGCCATGTTATTAGAACAGTACTGTCTGCAGAGCTCCCTGCTGCGAGAGAAACCTGTGTTGGAGTCCAGGCATCTGATGGCCAAGCTAGCCATGACCAAAGAAGACGTTTCATTGCACAGGCTCACGGGACAAAGATGGAGAAAATGCAGCTGACGACGACAAATGCTAAGTACCCCAAAACTACCGAGCATGGGCTGACAAAGCTGTAGCATGCTGTAGCCATGCAGCAGCCGTTTGCGAGTGACGCAAAGCATGCATTCCTGAAAGGACTCCACAAGCTGACGTCCCAGGCTTTTGTTGTTGACAGTTGAGCACATGACAATGGACTTACACTTGTGAGCACGTCGTGGGCGATATTTCTTCTTTGTGCCTGCGCCAGTACCATGCACGGCCGATCGATGCACAGCTCACCGCAAAAGTCCACAGCTCAGTGCAGAAGGAGGTCATTCGTAGACCAAGGAACCATGCATTATCCAGAGCATTTAAGGTGCTCAATTGACAGCCGGGTTGGACAACATTTTGACGCTGCGGAGCTTGCCCTTGCTTTCACAGTAGTTCATGGCGCTTGCGGATCACAGTCGTCACGCCCAGCTATTTCTACTGACTACTGCAGGAAGAGAGAGGCCGACTTCTTGGAAGGAGAAACGAAGCCAGCCGTGCAGCATGTCAACCTCAGCAGTCATCAGCTGAGGTTCGCAGCCTGTAAGTTGCCCAGTGCTGGCACCTCCAAGTGCAGAGCTGACAGTGCGTCGCCGCCCAGGGGCTGCTGCACCAGCTGGATCGGCTTCTGAATCCGCGGCACTGCTCCTCCTGCAAGCAGATCAGACCTCAGGAATCACGCTGTGGCCATGCTGTCGCCATACTTCGCAATGTGGAAGAAGGCATGCTAACAACCTCCGAGGAGGACGCAGGCGCTGGTGTTCACAAGACCAGATGGCCTCAAGTAATTGGGCTTCAGGCTTCTTGGCACGGATGTCTATGCAGAAAGAATACAGTGTGCCAAGCGACCACGACGGATCATATTTATCTGAGTAGCGACCTGGCTAGCGACTGTGGAAACAGCCGTGTCTTTCGTGTCAGCAGCACCGTGTCCGACGCAAGCAAAGTAAAGTGCGCAGGCAGCGCTTTGACAGCGAGACTCTTCGCACGTCTGTGGCTCCAGCAGCCCTGCGCGACAGCACCTCGACACAAAATCGAGCCAAATCGAGAACAGCCATTCTAGCCATTCTACGAACATCATCCGCATGGGTCATGGTGGTCTCGTCTCAGTTCAGACATTGCTGCTGGGCGAATGCACACACACACACACACCCACTCCTCAGATATAGTGGCTCCAATGAAAGCCCTGAGGAACAGGTTGAACACGGGGTGCAAGGACATGGACAACCAATGTGCTCTGGGCCGTGGGTGGAGATGCCTACTCGCATGGAAAATTAAACTAGGTTCTGCTGTGGTGATCTCCTGCTGTGGGAAACATGTGCCGAAAACACTGGGAAACGCCGATGATAAGTATCTGTCAACCTCACGAACGGGGATGCGTGTTTGGCAACCGCTACTTGTGGATCCGTTGGGCCCGCTCGTCCGAGTAATCAATAGTAAGCACTGGGTTTCCTCGGACAGTCTGCATTCAGCTGGCAGTCGTAACCGCGGGGCGAACGAGGCTCCAAGATGCTTTCATGTCATGTCATGCTGGGACGAATGTGGACAAGTGCCAGATTCCTAGATATCGGTGGGGTGCAAATGCTGATGAGACTGCTCGTGCTATGCTCCTGGGTCTTCTTGGCATCAATAGCTCGCACGGCGTGTTTGCTCGACGCCTGCTTGAATTAACTTGTTTGCGGCTTTGGCGATGTACATGTCCAGGACTGGAACCCGGAATTCCACCGGAACAGTCTGAACCTAATCCCTGTTTCGGGAGCTTTTGCCCCCTCTGTGTGGTATGTGTTCAGGCCCAGAAGAACCCTTCCAGCAGTCCTCTCGAAGACTGACAAGCGCGTGACTTTCCCCATCATGCCACCCATACTTTCACTGCCTTGTACATGCTCCACTTCTGCAGTCAATCCTTTCTGAGCTTCATGCGTCCAGCTACAGCTCACCTTCGCCCACCCGTTGTTGCACCAATCCTCGGTTGAACACGAAAGGCCATGGTCGGGAACCAAAGACAGCCTTGCCTCAACCGACAGGTTGCCTCGGCAAGGCCTCTCGCATTTCGCTGTTGTGCTCAAAGCAGCTCAGCTAAGTAATCGCTTCGCAAGCTGAGCCTGTTCCGAAGACACGGGGCGCATGCGGCAGCGTTCGCTCGCCCATTGCTCCAGCCTTCCAAGATCTTGTGCTCACACCTGACGTTCACAGCATGATGCGCTCGCAAAGCGTGCGCCTGAGTCCCAGGAGTCTGCACAGTGCGCATTGCACCGCTGTGCGGAAGACCTTACACCTCGAAAACGTGTGCTCGCAGGGGGGCCGGGGGCCATTCGAGGAGACTTTCCTGCCTGGGCCACTCCATGGAGCCTGCATCAAACGAAGGCTTCAGCGGCTGCCAGTGCTGTCACTGCCATGACACCGCCTGAACGGTTTGGAGCGCAGCAAGGAGTTCGCCGCTGGCTGCTGGAGTTTGCCAGTCGGCAGCCAGCACGCCATAGTCTGAACAACACGACTCTAGCCGTTCCTAACCAAGAATCTGGAAGTCTTCGGCGCACTCGTCGGGCCATGAAAAGGGTGTAGATCATCTCGGCTCCAGGTGCCATCTCCATGCCAGACAGCCCAATCGAAGTCGCCCTGCGATGTTTCGTTGCTGGTGCACTGCTGCTCTGTGCTGCCCTGCAGTTGAACTTGCTCTGTGCCTGGAGCAAGTACTGGAGGAAGTCCGGCCACCAGTTGGCGCACGAGTCCTATGCAGAGGCCATGTGGCGACAGAGATCAGAAGAAGAATGTGATGCTGCAGAAGGAAGCTTAAAGCCATCGAAAGCCTTGTGGCAGTCGCTGAAAGTGCCAAATTCACTGACCCAGACTGGCGCAGTGAATGGCCTCCCACATGCAAAGTGCCACATGGAGCAACTTGTTTCTGAAGCATCGGGCCTGTGTTCCTCGACGATGAATCCCCAGTCCTTGCCCAGCTGCCCATGTAAGGCCTACGAGCAGAAGACAGGAAGAAAGGGCGAGGGAAGCCAACGCATACGAGGGATCATGCTCTCGAATGTGCGCCTGGTAGCGATCTGCCAACCATGGGTAGGACCATGAGTAGCTGTGGGCAGTGTACACCTCATCTGGCAGCATAGAAACTAGCCTTTGGCTTGCCCGCATTCAGCTCATGGCAAGCTTGTTGGGCTTGTCGAGCTTCACGGGCAGCCTCGATTTCGTCCCCAACAGCTCCGGACAAAACGCAGAGTCTGGCCTCTGCTCTCACTGATGCGCCTGTAAACACCAGAGAGATCCTTGCCGTAATTGATCCCGCCCTTAGCCATAGTCTCTGCAGCATCTACACATCCCGGCAACAAAAAGCAAAGAAACTAAGAACCGCACCACGGCAATCAGAATCTCAGGATTCACCGCCAGTATGGCGTTGCCAGCCTCGCATGGCACGAATGGCCGATCGAAGAGGGGCCAGAGCGGACGCAAGGTCAAGTCTCCTCCGTGGCTGCTGCGTGCCAGTCCTTGCGGATCAGGCTCAACTTTTCAGGCACTGGTCAACATCATCGAGTTCTGCCCACATTGACATCAATGATGGCTGTCGATGGCTTTTGGGCAGAATGTTATTTTGAAAGCTGTTTTTGCTTACATCGCAACATAGCAGTTCAAACATTGCGACTGGCAACGAAAGGAGATCTTCCAGCGGACACCCGGCGAAATCCAACAGTGTCTTTTGCTGTGACAGTCGTCTGACAAGAGGATTAGGATGCATCCAACCTCCGGAGAGGTATCTGACAGTTCGGGCACAAGACAAACTGTAACAAGCGAGATGGAAGCAAAACAGAGCTTCATTTTTGTTCTGCGCGAGCCCACGTGTGTGTGTGTGTGTGTGTCTGTGTGTGTCTGTGTGTGCCTGTGTGTGCCTGTGTGTGTGTGTGTGCGTGTGGGTGCGTGCGTGGGTGCGTGCGTGGGT